ACAATGGTCCCGACGTGTGGGTTTCATGTTTTTTGACTCACCCTGTATAGCTGTCCTCTCTCGATATCTGAGCAGTTCGTTATTTCCGTTGCCCTTACATCAATTTTATTAATATGCCTTTGGCACATAGGAACAGAATTTAGTTTGTTTCAAGCACTTGGCCTCTTTAGACCCTCCTCCGTGGAAACATGTGCAATTTAAGATAAATTTTTGAGTTTCAATCCGGAAAAAAAATAGAATTTTACCACAATTTGTTTTGCAAAGGCGACTCACTTTTAAATGAGACACAGAGCGAAAACAAAATCGCCCTTGTGTAGTAATTACTTTACAAAAATTGTAATTGTTTGCGGCCAATAAGTGAGATGTATCTTTCTTAGGTGTTATTGGAGGCTAAAAGCAAAAGCAGAGAATTGCAGACGCATAAACAAGAACGAGAGTTTTTTTCGTTAAAATTAAACGAAAAATTGAAATTCGTTTTCGTCAAAGACCGCAGGAACTTTAACGGGACTATTCACTTTTTTTCACCTAAGTACTGTGCCATGGAAGCATTAGAGGGCTTATCATTGTACATGTAAATGAGAATTTCCCATTCAATGGTGGATAGCGCAGTCCCCAACCTCGTTCTCAAAAGTCCATGCATACCATGATTCAATTTGGAGGAGGATGCGTAAAATGGATGAAATCTGAATGAAATGACATCCCTATTGGCCAGATGTTATGTTTGATCCAGCAAATAAAGGTGTAACATTCTTCAAAACTTCGCAATGAAACAAAATTCACACGGTCCAGGCCAAAGCAGATGTACTGCCCATCCCAATACATGGATGGTAAGAAGAGCGTACTTTTTAATAGTCTATGCTCATTGTGAATCACCTGCACACGGTGTGCATACTTTTGTCCAACCTGCTGACATCAGTTCCCCCTGGACCGATCACCACTGAAATGACAGGAAAAAATCCATCTAACTTTGTGTAATTTCTCCGTGTCGGGATAACAGGGAAGGATGACAGTCATCTTCGGTCGATCGGAGCCCGGTGACTGATCGGCCAGAGCCCGAGGGGGGAGGGGGGGCCGAAATATCCCCCTAACGTGTCAACTGAGGAGGGGGTCAGGGGCGTCTGTCGTCGGGGGAAATGGTATTAATTTGACCCGCTGGAGATGATGTTTGCCGAATCAAGCGGGGGATATACAATACGTCCTCTGATGAGGATGCTGGCTAATTGGTTCTCGCGACAACACTACACACGGGCCATTATCATCATCTGTACTTTTATCCTGGTATAATTGTTGACTAAGTCGGTGGAATTCCGATTGGATCAAAAGGAGATCTCATAACTGGACCGGATCGGAGTGACTCTCTACAAGGATCAAGGAGGAAGTTATTTCACCCTCGCCTGGAGCTAGGGTGGGACAGAGGGGGCGGGGGCTCGATGACGAAAAGGTTGAACTTTTTGGACATCATTTTTATTGCCTAGTACGAGCCCTTTATAGTTTCTAGAGATTCTTCTGTGCCCCGACATCATGACTTCTGACGACTTATTGGTCCCGAAACACTATAAACCAATCCATTTCTGTCCCAAAAAATCCCTAACTTTTCACCAAAATGTGAAGTTGAATTTCACAATTTGTGTTCTCTCGACGGTTTCGGCCAAACTCTGAATATAGAGATGACCCCGTTGGGTGCAGACCTCATGGCTTATAGACACATGGGTTGAGTTCCTCTGTAGTTGAATCTTGAAAATCACCCTTGATTTTTTTTAAACCCAGTATTTTCTGCATCGAAACTGTCCCCATCAGCCACTGACGCCTTTTAACTAAGTAGGTACATTAAGCCCAAAACGTACAATACAAATTTGAATATGCGAGTATATATAGTTTCACCAATTTTAATTAACACATCGAAGCAGCCTCGTGGCATTAACATAATTCACCGACAGAGGGCGCCATATGCCTTTTACGATTGCTGAATGCCGTCAAATCGGCGACGAGCGCTTAATCACGATTGCAAGCCAACAGCAAGATGTTGCGTGTATATATAATCTTTTTCCTCTCTTGCTTCTTTTCTGGACACCTCGCGTACAGATCTTTTTTTAGACGAAAGACGAAAAATCTCACTTGAAACTATTTTAGTATATTTCGGATCGCAATTTAGCTGAATAACCTATTTTAAAATTGGCATAAAATGCTCAGCTTTCCCCGCCCCCCCCCCCCCAACTATTAAAAGGGAAGAAAACATTGCGAATTTGTGATGTCACTTACTGACGGTCCGGTGATTGGCTCAATAATCAGCTGCCGGTTGGTCAAGTTCATTTTGCTTCACCTGATCATCATGACCGAGTTGACCCCTATCCATGCTGCACTTTTTACCCACCGGCAAATCGGTAAATAGGGGAACGCTGTTGTTCTCGGGGTCTAGCACCGCAGGTGCTGACTCGCCCCAAGAGTGCAAAAGAGGGGAGGGCCGCCCGGCCACAAATAGCCCCCTTGCCCCGGGGCTAGGATTCAGTTGACTTCCCCCCGGCCGGATGGCTGGTTAAGATGCCACGGAGTCTCTCCCGTGAGTCCCAAAACCGCATCAGCCAACTCTAAACGACTAGCGGACACGGAACCACTGTTAGAGAGAGAAAAGTCACAGTGAATCTGTAGGGGGCCGCCTGGGGAGTTGGTTCAGAGCGGGGAGCGATGACGGGGCTTGTCGACCGAAATTACTGGGGCAAATAAGCTCAGGGACGTGGATTTTGAACCTGTTGTATTTTCTTTCGCAGAGAATTTTGTTTGGCTGTTTGTTCGCAGGATAGCTTAATTGTAAGTTGATGCGGACCTCTTTTCTTTGATTAAAAACAGTTTGAAATAAAGACACTCTTGTGACGAGTGTCTGGCCGGTTAAAACAGTTGTGGTCAGTTAAATTTCCTGCTGTTTTTGATAAGATTCAGTCAAGTATCAATTTCACCAGACGACATCTTCATTGGTTATACATGTACAGTGGCAGTACAAATAAAACCATTGTTTTAATAGTGGAATAGCAGTACAGTCATAAGGATGTTAATTTGCCGGCGGTCAACTTCACAACGGAAACTTCGTGGCTGGATTGGCTGCTAAGTGATGTTTTCCTCGCCCTCGATTCACGAACGAGTCACGACTCTTTAGGACTCTAAATCACAAAACCCGTCTATTTGGTCAAGTAGTAGTGCGTCGTTTTCTTTGTTGCGCCTGGGTATAAAATTATATTTGGGTGTTGGGTGGGGTCGGGGTTTAGGTAATTGATTGGTTAATATAGAGCCTATAAGTTGAACCCTGGTGGCGCGCTTCCGGACCCCTCGAATATGAAAATAGAGTGTAAAAGTCGGAGTTTTTCATTATATTCGGTACATGATTTATTTCTTTTAAAAAAATCACCCGCGGAAAAAGCCTTTGTAAATGGAAACTGAAAAATCGCATGACTTGAAAGCAAAATTTCGTGCCAAAAATTGACTTGTCACTTCCGAAAATCTAAAATACATGTGGACTAGTGGAACTCGGGGCATTCGTACAAAGATGAAAATTCATGAAATAATTCTGTGGCGGTCATTTGGTAAAAATTTGAACTTAAATAGGAGACTAAAATGTCTTTTGGGACACACATTATTGTTTTGAATAAACTTGTAGGACCAATTCTCATTTACAAACAAATCTAAAATGACCATCGATAACTGTATTCAAGCAAGTCCGACTAAATCTAGAATCCATTGGATGCAGGTGGGTAAATCTTTGCGTTGTTATCACTTTCGTTCTCACGCAAGTATGCGATGTGAAAACAAACGTAACGTGATCGAGCGAGGAAACCTATAGGTACGAAAATCGGGATGTGAAAGGTCGTCAGTAAATTTCGTTTTTACACCCATCTCCAACTGATTCTCATCATTTTATCTTGTGGAATGCCAAGATAAAATTCCAACAGGAATGTTTCTCGGAGGTGATTACGGTTAGAAATCATTTTGTCAAAAATTACAGCAAAAGAAAGGGCAACCCCGTGTAAAATGCTCATCACGTAGGGCCGGGGTCCGGAAGCTCAAAGACAAAATGGCGTACTTTCAGGCTATGTACAGGTAACTAAGGGTGCTCTTGTTACATGGGATGGGTGCAACAGCTCGGGAACTTCGTTTGTGCGTATTTGTACGACGTGTCGCGATACAAAATGTAGGTCTATATAAAGAAAAAACCCATTGCACTGAGCGCCCTCACTCGGGGTAGGTCTTCTTCTGTCGTATCCCAATTAACTATGTACGTTGATTGGCACTGCATTTAAGTATAACAGAACCTGTCTTCAATGTTGGGTCTATGCAAATGCGAGTGTGACGAGATATGGGATGTCTCGTTATAGAGTAATCGAGGGAAGGCCCTGGAAAGAGTACCGACACGGGGCTCAAATTAACGGTGACAAAATATCGGATTTACGGTGATTGACGTTCGGGGATTAAGCGATAAATTGCCCTCGCATCCTGTGGGCGAATGCGGGGACTGTGTACCTTCAAAGTCATTCTCGTGGATGACAACATCTCTCGTCGAGATTATTGTTGTCACGCAGTGCGGTGACGTCATCATTCTAACAAGCATCTTCCAAGTTCCTTTTTGTCATTTTCCTTTTTGCCTAATTTTGTTTTCTCCACGAATAAAATGTGAGGCGTAGGCCTACTGCCAAAATGTTTAATTTTGCTGGTCGCTGTCGTCTTAGGCCTAATAATACTGCATCAAAAATATCAATTTATTGACAAACCCCTTCTTCAAATCATTGCCCGTATTTAATAGAATTAATAGACATCTTTAAACATTTTGTTAACCCTCGCAATAAATAATTTGCATTTCTATTTACAATTCCAAAAGAAATTTTTTTGGCTGTCCTAGTTTCGTGACACTGTCAATTTCAGAACACCGTTGTACTCGATCCAAATGTGAAATGTTCTTCATTTGTTTCTGCAGAGGGCGCTGTTCCAATTTAGCAGTGTCAAGTGTGGGACATCGTTAATATGCCCTTCGTTGGAGTCTCTTCTGAAAAAAATGTTTGGTTTTATCCAAAGATCTTATTCTGAAGCCCAAGCACGATCTGCCTGATCGGGTTTGCAACGTCCAGTACCAAAAATCTCTGAAGGCATTTAGGCAGCGGTAACTTAGTCATGTTCTCCTTCATCTCAGCATCAGATGAAAAGGAGTTGACGATCATTTGGGTGCGGAGTACCTTCCTGCAGATTCTCTGGAGCGATGGGGGAGCTCTGTCGGTCAGAAGCGCCTGAAAGAGAACCTCTGCTCCGGGGAGGTTGAGCGAGGCTGGGAGGCTCCCATTGTCTGGTAATCCGTACCGCAGAGTGGCGTCTGCGAGCTTGAGAACTATTTGGGTGTTCACAGGATGGCTGTTTGGGTTATCGAGGAGCACATGCAGAGAGTTCATTCCGTTGGAGTCTCGGATGTCGGCATCTGCACCTGCTCTTAGTAGACAGGTTATAATGGACTCGTCGGCCGCTCTGCAGGCGGCGTGGAGCGGTGTCTGGCCGCCGTTGTCTGCGGCGTTTGGGCTAGTTCCATACCGGAGAAGCATCCTGACACAGGCTTCCTTCTTGTGTAGCGGGCATCTTGACTCCACGGCGTGATGGAGGGCCGTCTTGCCTTGGGAGCAGGTAAGATGAACGTCAGCGTTGTCTTGCAGTAGGACCTCAAGGCAGCAGTGTCCCATCGCCGCGGCCAGCATGACCGGCGTCTTACGGTCGATATCACGGGCGTCTTTGTAGGCGCCATAACTCAGGAGTATCCTTGCCGCTCCGGGGATGTCATACCTGGCCGCGTAGTGGAGCGGCGACTGCTGCCGGTTGTCACGAGCGTTGGGACTGCCCCCGAAGGCGCAGAGTCTCCGGAGAGTGTCGTTGCAAATGAGATCCACTGCTCGCAGGTAGCTGTGGTACATGACAAGCTCTTGTGAGATGAGCTGGTTTTCCTTTGGGACGCATCTTGGCCAGTACAGGATCAGGGTGTGGACCGCCGTCTTGCCCTCGATGTCCACCCAGTCCGGATCGGCGCCGTGCCTCAGCAGCATCTTGACGATCTCCGGCTGGCGGTGCATGACCGCGAACTGCAGAGGCAGCGTGCTCTTGATGGCATCTCGGGGAGGGCAGCTCGCGTAGTCGCCCTCCTGGAGGTTGACTGCGCCCATCGCCAGGAGCTCCTTACACCTGCCCGCATCACCCGTGTGTATGGCGTTGTAGAGTTCGTCGTTTCTCGTCTGATGGCTCCGAAGATGCATTCTGTCGTCTGTTTGTGCTGAGGATGTAGGCTGCTCGGACGGCGACAAGCAGTTGAGACGAAGTCGGCTGAATATTGTGATTGCTCGGTCCGACAACTCACACATATTTCCCGAAGTTAAAATGAATGAAATAATAATTGGAGTGGGATTAACTTATCCTCAAAATAAACAGCTTGAGCGCGAATAAAATTTCAAATTTAACTCCTAAGCGTGCGTTTTTATTCTACATCATTACGCGTTCTTATTTTGTGCGTGATGACGCTTTACGTACGACCACGTCATAGACGCGTTCAAGTTCGTTCCCTTACTGCAGCAACACGCCTCCTGTATCCCTGTCAGATTTTTCCCTCCATTTTTGGTGTGTATTTTCGATGTTTCTACGCTGAATGGTCAAAAGTTTGGAACTGTTGGGGACTCGTCATTATAGGAGCTCTACATCCAAATCCTGGGGATGAGTCCCAGCTAATGTCCGGCTGAGGTTATTGTCCTAAATTCGGTTACTATGTACAATGTACACGTAAATGTATGCGAATACACATTTGACAAATTGAGTTGGAATGTCTGGGGGTGGTTGCATCTAGATACATGAAGTGGGAAAGTATTTGAAAGAAAACAAGTAATCAACATCAAGTTTAAGGATGTTAAGGACGTGCAAAAGAGCCTTACATAATATAGAAGATAAATCTATCACCCCCACGTTCAATTGATAAATCTATCACCACCACCACTTTCATTATATACAATGTATATAGATTATATTGTATCTCCAATGTACATATAAAAGTGGGCGAAGGAATCAATGCATAGGCCTACACTAAGCAGTAAGTACCTGTATAGCAAAATGAACAAACACAACAAAGAACTTTTAAAAACTCAACTGACTCAGTTTTGTCACCGACAAGGCACTGCTAGCACTTTTATTTACAAAAAGGCACACTTATTTACAGCTAGTGTCAATGAACATGAACAGATTTGTTTTGAACAAGTTTAAGCATGCTCTCAATGTACATACATGATCTACAACATCAGAAACAGAAATTGGTTTACAAAACATTAAAACAAAAAAAAACAGATTAATGTTTTTGGGGGATCCTGTTTAAGTCTTTAACAGTTTGCATTTTATACATGACAATTATTACAAACTGTACATGTATATTCTAATAATTTCAACAGATGCTGAATACATTGATAAGAATGCAACATTTTAACACAAAGTACATTGTACCATCAAATAAATTTGTACATATTTTACATAGGGTTGACATGGCTCATGGGTTGACATGGTTTCACTTTCATAGGTAATTTAGACAGCCTTGCCATCTTTATTAAGGTAAATAGGGCCACAGTCAAAATATCAGTTTTTAAAATCATGTACACGTACATGTCTGCGTGGAATCTTTTCTTTCCAATGCGCTGCAAGATTATGGTTACAATGCAGGTTATGGTCACACAGTCTCATTTTCATGCATGTTCAACAGAGGGTGTTTGGGGGCTTATTTAAACCACCTCACCTTCGACAAATTGGAAATTCATCAAATTGGAAATTCGGCAAATAGATATCACACGACTTGAGCAAAATTTGTTGCCTGAAAAAGATAACTAAACATGCGGAAAACCAAACACAGGAGAGCACAGAAACACACTGGGTATACATTTTTGTAAATATACAATTGAAACCACAACTGAAATGGGCAAAGCCCTATTAGGACAACTGCTAACTCAGAAGTTCAAGGGAGGGAGTTTGACTAAATGGACGGATATAACAAAATGTACAGAGCAAGATTTGGGTGAGGGGAGAGAATATGTTCTACTTCTTCTTCCCCTTTTTGCCCTTCTTGCCCTTTTTGCCTTTCTTCTTCTTAGCCTTGAGGGCCTTGCGGCACTTGTAGGACCTCCAGAAGGCCTGGATGACCGTAGCTCCCTTGATCATCAGTGCCAGCTCCCTCTCCTCTCGTTCCTTCTTCTCCTGGGCGACGCGTTTCTCCTCCATGATGGTGGTGTACTCGGTCTCCAAGGTGGTGAAGCGTTCCTCTAGCTCATTCAGCTGGGCTTTCTCTTCGGTGTAGACTGTGTCCAGGTCTTCGTATTCGTCCTGTTGGAAGAAAAGGGTAAGGTATTAGTCTGTCATCTCACCGACATTTTGAAGTTACAAACTCCACGCAGGAGTTGTAGCGGGTTTTGTGTGACCTACTCATTGGGAGCTATCAAAATTCATGCACTCGTTCATGTGTGAAAATTACATAAAATACGCAGAACCAAATTTAAAATTGATTGAACACAAATTTTCAGTGTGTCTTCCAAATATGTAGTAATTAACTTTGGTGCCAATGTGCTCTCTGAGCTTTGTTTAAAAATAATGTTTTAAACTGTGGGGACAAAGTAATGCACTGAGTCTGTACGTTCCCATTACTGCAAAACCCAAGGAGAACCTACACAGTTCAAACTCATAAGAGACTTTCCAAAATGCCTAAGGCGGCATGAGGCAATGTTTTCAATATAATCAGAGAAAATAATTGAAAAATATAAGACATTACAATTGACCACCATCTCCATGGACATGTCTTGTGACCCTTCATCTGAATGACTCCAGTGAATCGCTGAAGATGAAAACGCCCCAAATATAAAATCATCCCTAGTTGGGACATTGCTACAGTTGGGGCCTTAACCAAGATGCTGTGAACAATTTGATGTAATGTATATTCAAATCTACATGAACTTATAGGTCCGACCTCTTAAGAATTACTGCGAATATAACTCCTTCCCCCCCCCCCCCCCATCATAGTCATACATGTACATTATACTGAAGCCCGGTTCATACTTCACACGAAAGCAAAGCGAAATTCGTGACATGAACAATACGTTCGAAGCGCAACCCCCATTGTTATGTTGATGACATGAATTTCGCTTCGCACAAGTTTGCTTGTGGCCTTACCTGTCGTTCACCCATGTCAGTGTCATACTTCTGGATCCAATTTTCAACCTCTGTCTCAATCTTGTATTTTCTCTGAAAGAAAAGGGGAAAAACAAAGGAAAGAAAGCTGTTATTCAACTCATTGGATACTACACTGGATGATTACATTCCTTACACGTGTATGTGGAATTGGAAATTATGATCAAATCCAATAGACTACAATTTTGCTCTTTTTTTATGGATAACATTGAGTAGACTCGGATAAACGCATAATTTTTTCACAAGAATTTCCTCATGCAACGTATTTAAACACTTAACAGAGACTGGCAAAATGCAAGTCCTCCATAATGGACCCAACTATCCGCTCCGTTCACAAGCACCCCCTCACCGGCAAAGGAAGTACAGTTGGGGGTGACCGACCGACGCCATCTTGCCTGACTGCAATTCATTTGCCGCGAAGCGCAGCCACTGCGTGTAAATAGAACAAATCCCCTGGTGTACGTGCGTCACACACAAGGAACGGTGCGTGTCAACCAGCGAAATGTCCCACCCATGGGACGTCGTTGTTAGGTAAAAGGGCGCCCTCTTTTGGTAGCGCACGGAGCTCATAGTTGGGATGGTCCCAACTACATTTTGTATAGTGTCGCAACTAAAGCTGGGGAAGTCTCTCCTATAGTTGGGATGGTCCCATGGGATCATCCCAACTATAGTTGGGCCCATCCCAACTATAGTTGGTACGATGCTAAAGTTGTGGAGTAACCATATCCGATTCCACTGTCCTGGTTCTGGTGACCTCTGATTTTATTGATGCTCTTATCAGATAAATTTGTTTTGTTACGCACAGTTACTTTTTCGCAGTGATCACTTCAGTCGCCGAGAAGGGTCTGTGCAGTGATCACAGCTAAGAAGTACCAAGCTTTGCACAGTCTACATTTCCCTCATAAAATTTTGAGAAATATACATGTATTTGTGGTCACCCGGGCTCTTAAATAGGGTGGCGGGTAAAACTAACAGCAAAACTGGCCAAACTGTGGGTCAGATGTCATTCCTTCCCCTCACCTTTCTGAGTGCCAGCTCACTCTCCCGGTGCTCTGCCGTGTTGGTCGCCAGCTGCGTCTTCAGCGCCTGCAGCTCGGCCTGCAGCTTGCCTTGTTTACCCTCCGAGTTCTTGGCGTCGGCCTGCTGCTGCTTGTCTGCCTCTGACTTGGTGCGGCGGATGTGCTCCTCAGAGAATTTCTCAATCTGGTTCAGGTCAGCTTTCAGACGACGGATTTCCTCATTTCGTTTAGAGATCTGAGGGTAAAGCATGAAGGTAACGACGAAAAATAATGCTTTGTGCTGAATAACGAATAACATTTGTTAACTTTCAAACCCCAAAATTAATTGGTATTGTATTTTTTAGGTGCAATTAAATTTGCAATGCACATTTTATTTCGCTTTCTAAAAGAATCAACTCTGCAGAAAGCAGTACTAGCAGGTTAGGGGAGGGGGGAGGGGGCTACAAATTGGCGGTATATCAATCCTTACAACATACATTATCATTATATTGCATTAAATTTAAAAAAAGATTCAACTATTTCTGTGACTTTATACACTTAGCAGCACATTCACAAACTTATTTTAAATACGAAAGCAATTAAAACCTAAAACAAAAACAGAATTAAACAAAACAATTCTGATGACTTTTGGCCATGAATGATACATGTTTGCATTATGGCTCAAAACACCAAAATTCTACGTTATTAACCAATATATCATCTTGCAAATGTAAACAGGCAAATGAACTGGGAGGGTAATCTTTCCAAGCAAAGAAGACTTTAGGTGTATCTCCTATAGAGGTTATATACCTCTTCATCTTTCTCATCCTCAGCAGCCTGCAACTCTGTCGACAGCTTCTTGATAACTAGGGCATTATTCCTCTCTCGGATGGTGATGTGGGTCAGGTAGTCAGTCTTTTCCTTCTCTTCAAGGGGCGTGGTCAGCAATCGCTCCAGGATGAACCCCCGCAGCTCGTTCATGTATGTGATGAGGGTGCTGGATTCCTGGTCCCTGCGCTTCCGCTCAACTCGGACGGCGTTCACAGCGGCGGGGTTCAGCGACAGGAGTCGGAGGGCGTTGCGGGTGGAGAAACCTATCTGTTGCTTCAAGACGGCTAAGGTCTGCATCAATTGTTCCTCTTCTTCCGAGATGCCTGGCTCTTCATCTTCTTCTTCCTCCCCGATGTTGTTCTCACTTGCGACAATACTGCTGTGCCTGGATGACGCCCGACTCTGTGTGTCACCACTCCTCTGGGATAGAGCTGACGACCTCCTGCTTGCTTGGCTTGTGCGGGATGCCAAGACCGGCTCTGGATTCCTGACGGCTCTCAGCTGATCACAAACATCCACGTAAGAGTTCTTAATTTTTCCCTGTTCCTCCAGGGCTGTGACTAGGTCTGCTCCCAACACCACGCTAAACCTGTCCAGATTATCAATGATGTACGGCAGTAAGGTGACGACCTCTGTCCTCTTGATGGACTCATCCAATACGGCCAAGACCCTCTGAGATTCAACAGTTGTCAACTTCTTGCGTCCGGGGTCCAAAACTCGAAGAGGATCTGTCTTCGGTTGTTTTCCTTCCTTGGACTTTGTTTTGTGCAAAGGTTTGACCCGTGGGGGTTCTTGCGCGATCCTCTCCGGTCGCTCTTTGGGTCCATCTGCCCTGACTTTGTCAAGCAGACGAAACGTTTCCATCACTGCTATGTCGGCAAACGCCATTTTGATTGACGTTGGCGCGCCGCGCTGGGCCGGCCGATGATACGAAACTGTTGAACCTTAATTGACGAGGAACCTCCACGTGTTTTGTGTTCAGCTTCCGAATTTGGCACTCCCGTTAAACGTTGGGAGAATAGAAAGCTTGTACGATAGATGCCAACACAAATTTCGCCTCAATTTTCCCCTCAGTTCATCAGATTTCTGATATAAACACAAGAAAATACACCTGCCGTCCCAAACTCATGCAGTGCTGTGCGTGCAGCGAGTGCCCAGTAACACCTCGATAAACATTGATTTCCTCCGCACAAGAAAAGTAGGTTAGGTGAGCTCTTTTTATTAATTCACTTCTTCATTATTTTGGCTTGTTAACATCAAACTGAACGTAGCCATGATAGAAATTTGAACCAGGAGATTTTCAGAGATCATGTTTAGAAAAGTTTATTGCTAGGCGGATGAATCTAAAACTATTTTGATATTTCACACGTTGCTATGAACGTAACTAGGTGACGTCACTTTCAAGGTCACAGACAGAGTTCGCGGAAAATCTCGTTTTTCAACGCGTGATTTGACCAGCTGTCATGCGATGTAAACATGGCGGATACGAACGACGGAGAAAATGCAACGAATTTTAGTAGAAATAATGTATCGTCAACCATGAACGATTTAACAAGTCCATTAATGAACGATACTGACGTTGGAGAAACAGGAACAATGAATGGTATGATCATAGAAGAATTCATCTGATCTGATTTTGCTTACGATAATACGATTGATTGAAAGGACGGCCGACCGAACGGAGTCGGACATGTCGGAAGTCGCTGCAAGTGCAAGTTGCAGTGCAGTGCAGTGGCTTTGCAGTGGCTTTGCAGTGGGTGTGCAGTGCATGCAGTGAACCACGGAGGAATAAGAACACATTCTGTTCTTATTCTTCCATGAGTGAACGCAGGTGACAAGTGCATTGATGACACTGATTGGTGCTACTTCTGAAATCAGAAGGACGGAGAGAAGCCTTCTGATTTCAGAAGTAGATTGGTGCCACACTTCTGTTCTGTCATGTCTGTGGAGTAGGTCTGCGTGGCTCACTTCGACTCTCTCCCCCACCCCCACCCCCTTCCCGACTTCCCACTCGTCGCGTCGTAGTCATGGCAGTTTTGTACTGTAAAACATACAATACAAATTGAAAATGTGGCGATTGGTCCCCGCTTTTGTTTTGATCAAATTATTGTTGGAAATAATGTTGCAACCTGACAGTGACACCACTTTTTTCTTCATAAAATCTCAATGAAGGTCATTCATTGCAAAAATGATGATAAGACATGAATCTGGGACTGAGAAATATTTCCAATTTTGTTTGGAGATACTTAAAAAAGTTTTTCTTGACTCTCCATAGACTTTGTACACAATCGCGGAAATGGTGTCAGGTTGCAACATTTTTTCCTTATTGTTGATGTATCGTACAGCGCCCCAAATTCGCGCTGCCAAACATTCGCGCAACTAGCTTTCTCGGCTCATATCAAATTTTAAAAAGAGAAAAAAACGTAAATGATTTTGAAACTTTTGTCTGCAGCGCAATGGCTCGAACTCACGCACGGACCGAAAATCTTTGACCCAGCACAGAATACGTCACACAAAAGCGATTAACGCGCGTGTAGTTGGGTCATAAGTGCATGTGCTATCCGGAACTAGGCAAAAGCATACGGTCATTTGTTGGCGAATTTTCAAAAATTAGAGACTTTACAACTTATTTTGATTCAACAAGCATTCGATGGAAGAGTTTATACAACTGTAGTGTATAAACAAAATATTCGAAATTACACGGTACAAGTGTTATACCGAGGAGAAAATTTATCGTCGCTTCGCAGCTCCCGCGATTTTTCTACAAAGCATCCAAACATGTCGAAGTGCGAGTCGGAAATCTGGCCTAAATTCCTCTTCTAAAGATTTTATCGGAAAAATCTTTGTGTATCAAGGAGCTTACATTTTCCTTTTCAAAATGCACATCGTCTGAAACAAATTTATTGGAGACTTATCCAAAAGAGGTAGGTTTTTATTTGAAGCTATCCGGAACTAGGAAAAATCCGGAACTAGGAAAACGACTGTATTATGAAAATAAAATGATATTAATGAGCATGGCAATCAATGCACTGATGGACAAAACCGTCACTCGCATTTCGTGAAAAGGACATACCAAAAAATTGTCTCGGTTTTAATGGAAAAGTTTTCTCAAACCAAATGTGCCACAACCAAATGGTTTATGTACTGGGTACTACCAGTGCTCCACCGAAAAGGAATACTTTGACTACACATTTATAGCACTGACACAAGGTATGCATTTTTGTGCATACCCTGAAGGACAAAAGGCCCAAAAAAACTGGTAAAGAGAATACAAATGAGAAAGACAGTTACACTGGATAGATCCACACATTCATAACATTCCATAAGGCCCCTTAAGTTGTTCCAAACAAGCAGTAATTATGAAATAAGAATAAAATATTCTGATAAACTTACCACTTGCAATTAAATGTGTCTGCCGAGTTGTGCCATCCGTTTCATTACTGATCGATCGTTGAGCGCGCGTGTGTGATGTCACTATCGAAGAAAAACAGGTAGCGCTTTAATAATCAACGACTGTTTCGCGTAGTGATATGTGCCCCATGCCGTTTGACAGTATGGGCTTCATCAGTATCTTAATGAACTGGATATTTTAAGCTAGGTGCAAGCCAAAATTCCTGGAATTTGTGGGAAGTTGTGTTTCCTAAATTTGAAATCAATTACTTTGGATGAATGGAAAGAACGCTGCATGACCATCCTTGTGTTAAAACTTGTCCTTCCTCAGGCTTCCCAGATGGAGTGTCAGTCAGTACTGATGATGCAGCTGATGAGAGCGTTCGTCAACGCTGGCAGCTCAACTACCAAGAAGCCGCCATCTATCTTAAGGTCAGTCCAGTTAACTGCTGGTCCTACCACCTCCCCTGTCAGGCAGCTGCGTATACGTAGTGTGTGAAATCAGTCCTTCTGATTTGAGGCGTGCAATCGCACCCCCACGCCATCGCACACCTAAAAGCTTCCCAAGAAGTGTGTGTAATTGCATGCCTGAATTTCCCTGGACCACAGAATCACACCTTTAGAAAATCGCACACCTAGAAAAACCAAATGCCTAGAAAAATCCAGGTGTGTCTTTTCCCACACGCCTGTGATTTTCAAATCAGAAAGACTGTGAAGTAGTTGATTTTCATTTTTAGGAAACTCCAGCCTTGGTGCTTATTACTGGGAGCTTTACCTTAGGCCCAAGGGCTACGGTTTTCAGATCTAAAATGCAATATGCACACTTTGACCACATGAAGACGCATTTGGTTTGTGCCCACAGAACGTACACATTCATGTCTACTTTGTGCAATATGTACGCGCACCAGTGCTAGCACACGATGTGTCCCCATCTGAGTATTCTTTGAGTGGTGGCTGTTCGTGCACAGAGTTCATAAAATTGTTGCTTCATGATCAAGCCTCTTAGTTTAAACATTTTCAATAGCATGGTTTAGTCAGCTTCAGGTGAAACTAGTCAAATGTCTCAATATTTGTTAGGTAAAAAACTTTAATTACCTCAAATTCATCATCAAATTCAGTCAGGAAATGATGAGTTCATGTATTCGCAACATTGTTTAGATTTTAGAATAGATCATTTGCAGCTATCCAAAAAGTAACTGACAAAATTATTGTTGAAAAAATACACTTGGTTTAAAGATACATGTAGTAATGGCACTAAACTCCCTGCGAAATTATTCTTCCTGGCATGCTATATCATTATGAAGAGAACTATAAAAGAAAGCCATTTCCAAAGATGCATCAAGATACCTTTAAGTTGGAGCTGGGCATGACTTTAAGAATTCCAATAGCCGTAGAGAATTTGCCATTAATGAAATTGTATGGACTTTGAACGAAAAGTAATGCATGAGTTCTCACTAGTTTGGTGGAAAAATGTGGTACCCATTGAGTTAAAAGTCAAGGCAAGTCTAGTTGTTGACATCCTGCTCTAGATGTGGAGGACTGTTTTTCCTGGTATCTTTGATCCATTAGCAAATGGTCTACATTGAATTACATTGTGTTTATTCACCGATGAATAATTAAGACCATAAAGTTCTTGGGTGGTTTCGGGCGCTACAGTGGGTAATGGGCAGGATAATGCGGGCGCTACAGTGACTATTAAAGGGTTTAACAAATTATGATGTATTAGATCAAGTTTATTTAAAATAAACTTGGTCTACATGTATAATGTTATTTTGCTGTAAAATACTGAGAATAATCTGAAGTGCACACATTACAGTTAAAATTTCAAGTAAGAAGAGTAAATATTACTGTTCAGTGCTTTTTCTCCCCCCCCCCCTCCTTACCCCCTTAGGAGGGAGAGAACAACCACAACTTCAGCACCCATCCTAAGAGTCAGGACGCCCTGCCGGCATACATCCTGGTGCATAATGTCTGGTTCTACATGATGGACTTTACTGCTGCCATTCTGCTGCTCGGCCTCGCCCTGTGTGAAAGACCCGCAGTGGATTTAGTTAAACTCCCAGAACTCGTAAGGACCATTTTGGTTGTTTCATCATGATCTTGTAATAATAATAGTAATGTAATGGACACTTTCAGATATAACATACCCAGTATAAGATAAACAATTTTTAAGGCTTAAGGCCAAAGAAAAAATAGTTTTGCTTGTGGTTTCCCTACCTACCCCATTCTGAAAGCCCATATCCTATTTTTTATGGGATAAATGAGAAAAAAAATCCCCCAAAACAAAAAATGTCTACCTTTTACCCTTGACTACATGTAGACGCCGCCATATGATTGTACACACCAAAGAAATTGGGGGAAAAAAAAGAATATCTTACCTACCTACCCTATTTTTGAATGCCATGCAATCGTAAGCAGAACTATTTTTTAGGGAGGGCCTAATCGTCCTTACTCGCAGCAGAAGCTGAAAGGGCTGTGCTACAATGTGGTTGAGCTGAAGGCATGTAACGGCCACCATACGACCATATTTCTTACCACGGAGCACAGTCAGATCAAAAGTGTCAATTTTTGCGGAGAGAAGAAAACCAGAAAAATACTCTCGTGGCACAGGAGAGAAACAACTCTACTCACATTTGACCCGAGTGAAAGGAGCAAGAGGCGAGTGCTTTTCGTACTGCGCCACCCATGCCATCCATGGTCTGCAATAAACACTGTATACTCAGTGCGTTACCTCCCGATTGAAAATTGAAAAAAAATCACTCGGGTGGGACTCAAACCCACGACCTCCTGCTTTCTAGTGCAGAAATCTCACCACTCGACCACCGAGATTATGGGATCGATTGGCTGGTATGAATCTGATGTACATTTAGCAGCGGGAACCGCAAATAAACTGAGAGTGAAAAAAAAAACACCCAAGTAGCTTTTTCCAACTTTCAAACTGAGTAAACAGTGTTTTATTCCACGTGTGAAGGGCAAAGCCTAATCTTGATTTACATCACCCCGACGCAGAATTCCATCTTATGTTTAATAACAGTTAGTTCAGCTCCCAATTTCACGGCGCTGCTAAGCACACGATTTTATGCTAACAGTCTTAGTCTATTTCACGGACACCGTAAGCGTAAGCACAGCAAAAGCCACGCTAATCTGGGGGGGGGGGGGGAATTTGCTTAACGTAGTGACGTAACAATAGAAATCTCCATGCACGCGTGACCGTTAGCACGTCCACGCCGTGAAATAGTGCTTAAGGTTAGCAAATTTGTCTGCTATGCTAAACAAAACTTTTCTGCTAACTGTTAAGCAGTGCCGTGAAATTGGGCCCTGGTAACTAATATCAAAGGCAAGAGTAATGAAATGAAAGACTCAAGGGATGTATTTTCAACTCCAAATGGTTGATCTCTCTTCCAGATCCATGGGTCTGTGGAGCTTTTTTTACTGATCATCATCGCCATCGGCCTGGGGTTAAAGGTCAGGTGGCTGGGGGTCAAGAAGTTCTTCCTACACAAGCGAACGGCGATTAAGGTATGTGAGAATTCTTACAAGTAAATTGCATTACGTGATCTGTTGCACGCATTGAGTTTGGCCATTTCCTGCTAATGTTCTTGGCATACTTCCTGCGTATTACTTCCTGTGTCATATGTAACAGACTTTCACCTGTCACTGTTAGATAAGATCAAATTCAATAAAGAACCAATGGTTTACCATTTGTTGAGTTGTGACCATGTATGTACTATTAAAGGGAAAATACAACATTTGAAAACATCAAAAAATGAAACCATTTTGAAATACCTTGCTGGACTGTTAGTGAATGGCAGTGTAAAGCATCCTTTAAAATCATGGCACCTGGAATACTGTCATTTTCAAGAAAAGTGGTATTTTTGTATCAATTTCCAACGCTGATCGGCAGACCAGCATTGGAAAAAACTGGGGTTTTTTTCAAATACTGGCCCCAATTGACCATCGCACTGGTTTGCAATCGATTACACACCTATGAACGGGTACAAGCCAGCTATACTGGTCCCCTGACCTTACAATTCCCCAATGTATGTAAACTGCTCTGTTTCTTCTTAAATGGAGTCAGGGAACCAGACTACAGGAAAATGATTGTTTTTCTTGGTTTTTATAGCATTTTTGGACCCAAAACCTCAAAAAAGTCAGTGTAACTGTATTTGCTATATATTTCCAACCCCCTAATTCCATCCATTTCTGAAAATTACAGCAAAAGCAAATGATGTATATTCCCTTTAAATTACTAGAGCGCTATGTGGCTGTACAAATGAAGCCTGCTGGGCTCACCCATGTTTTTGCATAAACCTATGGAAAACTCAAAATTTAGTACGATTTTAGTACGGCTGTTTGCATATCTGCATTTGTATTTTTATACCAGTGCATTATCGAAGCCGATACACCAAAAAAAACGAAATGCACCATCGCGTTATACTTGTGCTTTACATTTTGAGTACATTATTCCAAATTCATTTTCATCTGATTTCATTATGTTCTAGAAACACGCACATGAATTCAAAATGCCTATGCTCAGGATGGCTTCAAAGTAGTAGTTAAATTTAGCTCTATATGGTTGTGACATACTGTGATCTCGCACACGCAAACTCAAGTGTGTATAAGTGTGCTGTGTTTGGAATCATTGATTCCTGTAAGCCCGGTCAATTTCTTTGTTCAACTTTAAAAAAAAAGATTTGTATTGTAATGCCCGAGTCAGTTTCCGTTTGGTGGTTTACAGTCAGTTTTGCCTATTGGGAATGAGAGATACTATTCAACAGTTAGGATCACTTTTGTTCCATGAAGCTGTATTTGTGTGCAAATGCATGCTAGTATGCGCGTTCAGCGTTGCACGTAGCGCATATTGTTCCAAAGAGCCAGCGCTACAGAGTTGGGTTCAAACATTTCCGTGAAGGGGTGGTTTGGAAGAGAGAAATACATTTTCCACCAATGTTAAGTTGTAAAGAGATAAAAGTTCAAATTTATCAAATGACAAGGATTTCTATATGTCAGTTATATAAAACAAATATTGAGTGGCTTTAAATTATGAAATGGGAGGAATATTATCGCTCGGTAAATTTTTTTTTTTTTCTCAACTCACTTGGCTTTGAAAGTCCAGATTTAACCTTGCAATAATGTTCCTCCCATTCCTATCTGAGCCTCTCAATATTCATATAATATTTATTATTAGTTAATCAGACTATGGCTAAACATAAAGCCACTTTTTGATTTTTTTTTAATTATTATCACCATACAGACCGCTGTGCTACTTATTATGTTCTGTGAAGCCATCGTCGTCCTTGCCAGGCAAAAGAGCCATTTTCGTATCACGCGAGCCCTGCGCCCGTTCTTCCTGATTGACTGTCATTATTGTGGAGGCGTCCGAAGGTAAAATGAGTTGGGATTCGAACCCACAACCTCTGGTGCTCCAACCCTATGTTGACAGTCTCCCATTTGTTTAATAGGCAATAATCAAATACTATGCTATGTTATAACAGTAACACCTCACCCACAGATTCTGTATCTTGATTGGCCGAGAGCGAGTCACATGGCATTTGATATTTTTACCATTTTGCTGTACACGGCCAAAAAGACTATACAGCAACTGAAAAAATACTTTACCCATAGCAACCACTGTAGCAATTGTATGCACGTGTGCAAATGCACACGGGTGTGTGTGTTGCGTGTATTATTCCCACGCGCTAGCGTTACAGAGCTGGGTTCAAACATTTCATGGAGGGGTAGTTTGGAAAAGTTTTGGAAATATTCAGCAAATTTTGTATTGAAATAGAAGTACAGTTTAATGGGATTTAGGTTAAATTACGTAGTTATCTCTTTAAAATCAAGCAGAATCTGTGGGAGAGGCATTATAAAACAAATATTGACTGCTTCATTTTGCCCCCCTTGGTGATCCATGGGGCGTTCCATTTCCATGGATCACCTCGGGAGGCTAGTTTTACTATACTCGAAGCAGTCAACATTTGTATACAATACTATACTATTCTGTATTTCTGGTAATGAAACAAGGATTCCTCAAAAGCATCCTAGGCACTGTAGCTCGCAAGCCTGAGGAAACCTGTAGAGGGAAGACAGTGAGAAGAAGTTACAGTTTTAGAGGTGGGAAGAAAACCCCAGAAGAATATTCTGGGGAAAACCCACGGAATCCGGTAGAGACTGAAAACATAATCCAGGGCAGGAATCGAACCCGGGCAATGGAAGGCGTGGAAAGGCCCACTGTGCCAAGCTGATGATGTTTGGTACGTGGGTATAGGTTAGTTGTGACTTTTGGACCGACCAATATACTGCCCTTCTATATCAAAGACTGCAATGTAACAGATGAAGGATTGCATTGACAGCGACATTTGTTAGATTAATAGTCCACAAGGATTGAGCTCAAATGACGGTTGAGTCCAGAATACTTGCTGAAACTATGGGCTCCGTTCAATATTGCTTTGTGTACGTTGTGCGTATTCTGCGCTATACGTGCGTGAACCGGTACGCACACACGTTGTGATCTGTCCGTGGAGCTCTTGAATGTGGTAAAAAAGTGCCCTCTCAACAAAGCCCATGGAGTATCAAGTTTAAAATTTTACCAGTTTAAAAGTTTGTGGTAATGTGTTGCACAACCTTTCATTCTGTGGAAGAGTATGTATGTGATTGAAAGATGATTGATTAGCTTACTGTAGCAGAAAATTCCATGGTTAGGCCAAAAAAAAAAGTCTCCGGTTTCTGGTATGCGGGCGCGTCGCCGTAGCCATGCGCGTCCGCAAAATGAAAAAGTTTTTTTTTCAATGAAAGATGATGTCTCAAAACCGCCAAATTCACTGGTTTGACTGGAATCCTGCTGCTGCACAATTTTAACGTGTTTTTAGATTTGGTTATGGTCGAGAATAAGCTTTATGTGGCCTCTCTGGACTCCCATATATTTGCACTAAGTTTAGTCGGGCACCATTTGCAGTCATCAGCCGACATTTGAAGCAAAAAAAATCAGGTAAAAAAAAAAAAAAACTCGTCGTCGCACCACTTTTTGGGCAAGCTCCGTACCAGAAACCGGAGACTTTTTTGGGGGCCTTAAGGTAATTTCGGCTTCTGCACATGTGTACATCCCATGCTTACAGGTTTAGCGCATAATTTTCTGCTGGCGCTGTTAGCGCAAGATGGTGATCGTAACCCCGGAATTCTGTATTTAGCAGAGCCACGAAATTGGCCCAGACTAATAACGGCTGTAGTCCGAATTGAATTGACCACTGACCACCTCTGAGAACACTAGCAGAGAATGACCAGCGCACGCAAACTAAACATCCCTTTCAGACAAGTGTGAGAGAAGGCTAAAGGATACCACAAACAGTTGTACCAAAAATCAGACTTCCATGGAGTCGTCATTTCTGTTTATTTATGAAAGTACCTTTGTGTTGCAGGCAGAGTGTTGAGCATTTTATAAGCTTTTGAACGATTGCAAATTGTATTTTCCTGTTTCAGAGTGCTTCGTCAGATTTTTCAATCGCTGCTTCCCATTCTGGATGTGATGTTCCTGCTGTTTTATTTCATGATCATTTTTTCAATTTTAGGTAAGTAATGTGTAAAACTCTGTCTGTTAGGCCAAAAAAAAAACTATTCTGTCTCTGGTCAGACCAAAGTTCCGGAATTGACGCGGCCACGCGGCTTTTTTTTTTTTTTCTTTCTTTTTTTTTTTTTCTTCAAGCTTAGATTATACAGACAAGGTGGGGTACTATTTTGCTTTTTTGGTGTCCTCATGTACATTGGTGTCCTCCATAATTTGCCTTGGTGCTCTCGATCATTTGCCTTGGTGCAATTTCCCATTCCTTGGTTCCTTGGGGCGCTGTTGGAGCTACCGCGTAACATTTTGAAAGAAAAAAAAGATCGACGCGCATGATTAAAATCGACGCGCGCGCTGACCAGAGACCGACTTATTTTTTTTTTTGGCCTTAGATAAGTAGATTTTCATTGGCCTTTTAGCATACCATCATTCCTGTTAACCTTTACCCTAATCTTACCAACTCCATCAAAATCCATCGCCCTATTTTGGTTGATTTTGGGGAACATGGTCCCTGCTGGCCTGGTTTGACATGAATTTGGATGGAGTATGATGGACTTGGGCCGGGAGGCCTGAAGCACTGCTGGGGAATTGATTGATTTTGTCTAGCATGGAGTACTTCTATTGTCATATAAGCCATGTGTACTAAGTCCATCAAAATCCAACAAAACTTTATTTCATGTATGTCAAGCAGAGTGAGTGATGGATTTTTTTTTTTTATGGAGTTGGTCACCTACTTACTTAAAGTAAGTAGGGAGTTAGGGTTAAAGGGAAAATACAACCTTTGCAAACATCAAAAAATAAAACTACCAAATCATTTTGAAATACCTTGCTGGAATGTTAGTGAATGACAGTGTAAAGCATCCTGTAAAATCATGGCACCTGGTATACTCTCATTTTTAAGAAAAGTCGTATTTTTGTATCAATTTTAAATGCTGGTCGGCCGACCAGCGTTGGAAAAAACTGGCTTATTTTCAAATACTGGCCCCCATTGGCCATCGCACTTGTTTGCAATCGATTACACACCTATGAACGTGTACAAGCCAGCTAAACTGGTTCCCTGACCTTACAATTCCCAATTGTATGTAAACTGCTCTGTTTCTTCTTAAATGGAGTCAGGGAACCAGACTACAGGAAAATGATTGTTTTTCTTGGTTTTTATAGCATTTTCGAACCCAAAACCTCAAGAAAGTCAGTGTAACTATATTTGCTATATATTTCCAACCCCCCAATTCCATCCATTTCTGAAAATTACAGCAAAAGCAAATGATGTATATTCTCTTTAAGCAACATTTTTCTTGGAGGTAAGCATGCCTTTTGTGTTTACTGCCTACGGTCTCCATGAAATAGACAGAGGCTCTATTAGCAGAAAATTGTGTGCTTAGTGCTATGAAATTGGTTCCTGGGGTCTGGTGAGACAAATTGGCTCGAGACAGGACCTGCTTTTGTTATGATCATGAACAGTGGAAGAATATGTGAGACACACTGCATGCAAGCGCTTGGTCGTGCACGTATTGCCTTAGAGTTCCCGCAACCGATATTCATCTGGATGTACACACGCCCATCATCTCCGTAAGGGCGCCAGGTGTTTACGTCAGCATTGGAATTCAAGACTCTGTGTTACTCTGTTTGTCGCAGTTACTCCCCAACTACGGCAGTGGTCGCAACTATAGTTGGGACTGTGAGACAGTCCCAACTATTGGATGGGCAGTCCAATAGTTGAGGAGTGCTTAACTACTGGGCCCAATTTCATGGCGCTGCTAAGCACAAAAATTTGCTTAGCACAAAAAAAAAGGTCTGGCTTATAAAAGCAGGTTACCAGCCAAAAGTCAATGTGATTTTCATGCTAAGCAACAAAAGCCGAATACCAATCACGAGCAATATACATCACAATGAGTTTTGGCTGGTAACCTGGTTTTATAAGCCAGACTTTTTTGTGCTTAGCAAATTTTTGTGCTTAGGAGTGCCGTGAAATTGGCCCCTGTTTGGGCAATCCTAACTGTAGTTGGGAGAATGTCACAGTTGGGGCGTAACGTTACCACGGATGGGGTAAATTTGCACTTGTCCCTAACATGCACGAAACAGTATCCCCTAACATAAATTATCTTTTCCTTTTCCCCCCAGGTTTTTTCATTTTTTCCAGCGTTGATCAAGAGAACTTTGACAGTCTGCTGGACAGCTTCGTCAGTCTCTTCATCCTGATGACCACAGCCAAGTAAGTATTTTCTTTCAATCAGGTTTATTTTTAAGCAGCAGTGTTTTTGAAAACTACTTTTCAAGTATTATCAGTGTTGATAGATTGTGAATACAGAACTGGATTACAGTGGCACCAATCAACAACTTTCACAATGCTGTGATATCCCACTAATTAACACAGTATTCCTTAAAAGAGAGTAGATCATTTGCAGCAATCCAAAAAGTAACTGACCAAATTATTGTTGAAAAGCTGATTGGTTTAAAGATACCAATGACACTACAGTCCCTGTGAAATTGTTCTTTCTTGCATGCTGTCATTTTGAAGAAAACAATAACAGAAGGTCATTTCCAAAGATGCGTCAAGTGACACATTTTTGGAAATTTCCGTTAGTAGTTGGTTTGTAATTGGGCGAATCTGTGAATGGGTGTGAAGTGTTGACGCACATGTGCGCGGTTGCTATTATTCATCAGTTTAGTGCTTGATATTGCGTAGCTGCAATCAGCTGAATGAAAATGTGTCCAAGATGCTGATTTCGGGCCCAATTCAAAACATGACCCAACAACTTTTGAATTGAAATTGAGATCTAGAATATTGTATTCCTGGAATAAACAGAGCTAAAACTTCATCAGGTGAGTTGTTAAGCACCAGTCTTTAGATTTTGAGCACATTTGTTGCTTCAAAGCAAACAAATGCACAAATGACAAATGATGTACTCTACCTTTAATGACCATAGCAAATTCACTTTAAAACCCCTCGTACATTTCAAGCCTCGTGCGGTGAAATGTTACCACTAATAATTTTATAGTACATTGTAAGTACATTCCCAGTTAAATTCCAATCCTGCTGGGTTTTTTTTCAGTGACGTGTGCTGCATACACTCCTGTTCTGCACCTACAGTAGCGAAGCTCGCTAGAAGATTAAATTTGAAATTTTTTTTAATCTTTAATAATTACAGTTGCCCTAGAAGCTCACCAGAAGATTTAATTTTGATTTGTTTTAAACTTTAATAATGACAGTTTCCCTGATGTCATGATGCCAGCTTACGCGCAATCTCCATGGTCGTTTCTGTTCTTCGTTGTCTTTCTCATCTTAGAATTGTATTTTTTGATGAATTTGGTAAGTCTGAGAATCACGACTTCTTTTTTTGTGCCTTGTCATTTTGAATATTTGTGTAATTTAGACATATTCATTAGTGCTATTTACTGTTTTGTCCTGTGGATGAATATAGAATTTTTTCAAAAACAATTGTTTTTTTTATAAGATTTGAGGCTTTGCATGTGGAGTATCGGTATCGTTTCGGTTTGCGGTAACACCATGTGGTAATAACTACTGCTTAGAAGATATTTAGTTCTGAAAAGAACTTGTCCTGCTTATTATCAACTTTCGCTAAGTAGTTTTTGTTCTGATAAGAACAGTCCTGCTTTAAGTTCTAAAAGAACTTGTCTTTGGTCTCAACATTTCGACGAGCCTGCTCTAGTCATCGTCAGGAGACAAATTGCTTTTTTGCTCATAAGCTTGAGGAAATTTATGGGCAGATGCAGATGAAGACATTTTAGTTTTAGCAGTAATTGGGAACAAAATCCTGATAAAAATTCTGTGGTAACAAATTATGGGATTTTAAAATTCGGCGTTAGGCCGAATAAAAAAAAAACATGTTTCTCGCCCGGGTTTTTGAAGAAAAGGAAGAAGAGGGGCTTTTTATTTATTTATTTATTTATTTATTTTTTCATGATGGCCGCCATTTTAAAATTTCCTGCAACCATTGGTGTTTTCACTGTTCAAAGACACTTTTAAAATGAAAGACAAGTTGGACAAGAGAACTGAACATACTTACAGTGTCATTTAGAGTTGTATTGGTCTACAATGAACGTGCTTTAACCGCCGAATTTGTGGACTTTTTCGGTGTTTTTTTATTGCATTTTTCAAAAATAACATAAGAAAAAAAATCCAGGCAGCCTCCAAAAAGGAAGCGGGTGGGGAAGAGAAACATGTTTGTTTTTTTACTTCGCTTTACCAAATTATGTTACAATAATGCAGTTGACATACTGACAGTTTGAAGAAAAAATATCATTCTTATAAATCAATGCACTTGTTTTTTGCTTCATTATTTTGTTGTTTATTTGTTTTCAGCTATTAGCGGTAGTCTACGACACTTTCACTGGAATAGAGAAGAAAAAATTCAAAGCGCTGCACCTCCATAAGCGGACGGGAGCCAGCAAAGCATTCAAGCTTCTATGTAGCAGACGGGTAATTAGAACATCTTCACATTTCTGTGTGTGAAGTAAATATGAATTAGCCTGGAATATTGTAGTTGAAATTTCAAAGTAGCCATACAGTCCACCGCAAGCTTGTTTTCTTTTAAGACTGCATCAAAGGTCCGCCCTTTTGTTTTACGTTTTAGAAACGTTTAGAGAAGAAATCCGAAGATTCTTTGCTGAATATCAGGCGACAATTTAATGAAAGTTGAATAAATGCATGTAACAATCAACATGTTATGCAAAACATTGTACGACGCTTCGCACTTACGACACGTTTTGTGAGATGAAAATTGCACGACGCATCGCAGTTGCAACACATCGTAGGGATACAATGCTTTGCAGCGCTGCAATGCATCATAAGTTACAATAAGTTTAATGAAATTGGGTGCTTGTCTAATAAGTTGGTATTCTGTGTTTTTCATCGTCCAACCTAAAGCACCCAGGCAAAGTCAGCTTCACTCACTTTGAGGGACTGATGAAGTACTACCGTCCACGCTACAGTAAACGGAACGTCATGCTGGCCTTCAAGTCCCTCAACATGGCTGACACACAGCTGCTCAGCCTGTGTGAATTCCAGGATATATACGAGGTATGTTTTGACAAGATTGGGTTAGTTTTTTTGACTGGGCCTGAAGGGTGGATCTGGGTCACTGACTGGCTTGGTGAAAAACCAGGATAAAAGTCATCACACAACCTCACGGTTTTTGCTACCTGTTGTAGGTTGTAAAATAAGCAAGTTGTTTGTGGTTTATCCCACAGTTAATAAAACAAAACTTGGTCCACTATCAATTAAACCAAACTTGGTAGGTAGATGATAGATGAGACTCGTCCAGCCGTCATTGAGTATTGCACTTTCGATGAAACTTTAGTCAAACTTTGGTCATCAGCTGTAGTTCTCCATATAACTCGCTATAAATGTCACCCTGTTGATCTGTGATTTAGAGACGTTAAGAACGCGTTTTCGCAAGAACGCACATGCCTAGTGTGCTGATGTGCTGATCTAGGCTGATTCTATAAAAGCCAGAGTCCACGTCTAAAAGTGTCCACAGTTATGTGCTGACTATACAAACAGGACCCAGCCAGCCCATGTAACTAACCTTCACTTGTGACTTGGCACTGAAACAATAAAGACCCATTGAACAGTCAAAATAATCTGATATAGTATTGGTCTGTGTGTAAAGCGTCTTTTCGTCCTCAGGAGGGTGAGAGATTACTTTCCACATGGTGTTACCTGTAATCTTTCTACTTTTTCTAATCTGCCATGCAAAGCTTCAAGTCAAACTTATCTAATATTGTTTCCGTGTCTTTTGCTGTAAATCAGGTTGTGCAGCTGAAGTGGAAATTGAAACAAGATGAGAACCGTTTGTGGTTTGAGGAGGTGATGTATCCACTCAACAAACCATTTGAAATGCTCAATAGATTTGTCAATTGGAAGGGCTTCAACTATGCCATATGTGAGTATCAATAGCAAACAAAAGTGTGTTTTTTTCTCTAATGTGTGATGTGTTCTGTCAAAACCAGACTTGTATGGGCACTCTGAACAACAAATTAAAAAAACGATGTGGGGGTGATCGTTTATATTTTCATTATTTTGCAAATTTCTCATTAATAATGTTGCTTCCCAAGATAATTTTTTGGATGATTCTTATATGTGTATGAGCTCAACAAAAAAGAACACACTCCTTATTTCTTATTTTATTTATTTAAATTGTTTTATGTTACAGCATGTTTTTCTTTAAATACCGTAATTTCCTGCGGATAAGGCGCGCGGCGGATAAGGCGCAGGTCCCTAAAATCACCCCAAAAAAATTCAAACGCCAACAGATAAGGCGCACCGCCGCATAAGACGCATGTTTGACCGCACACAGAAGAACACCAGGCGTCACCCGGTGTCGGTACATCGCCACAAAGGGGCCATTGTGTTGCCTTAGAACGATCACACTATTCGGAGGATGAATTAAACCGTAACCACATTGGCTGGTCACATGTAGAGCCATGAAGCACTTTTCCCGAGACGATAAGTCCAGTGCGGACAGTGCGAGTCGGTAAAAGCGGCTCAGGAAAGCGTACATCCGGCCCGAGCGCCCTGTTATGCATACAGAGACCGCACGAACCTGCACGTGCAGTGGCCGAACATTTTGTAGAAACACGCTGCGGTGTATCATCAAGTCCGAGCGGTAAAATCTCGTTAAAATATATATTTCAACGGACAAATACATACACAGAGAAGAGAGATCACGTTCTGAGAATTAATTTGCGGAAATTCTCTTTCTCCACCGATGTATGTTATTTTCTACGATCCAAATTCGTCCTGATACGCTACTGTAGTCATGCACGGAACATCATGGTCTGGTACCGTACGTAGGCCGTAGTCACTGGTTCCTGGCCCACATCATAGCTTCGATTCTGTAAGCATGTGATGGGAACCAACGAATACTGATGGCACTGCTGCCGCACGGAACATCGTACAGCGGCATGGCTTCGACGACGGGCATCACAAATGCGTCAGAATTATCGGCCTTTTCGTCAAGATTTAGCGTGTCAAGATGAAATAATATCGTGTAAACGATTATGTTGTGCATGCAAATGGCGTGTGTAATATTACTGTGCGTATCGGCGGCTGAAAATGTGATCGGCAATTTGTTTTCTGTGTACGGTGAGTAATTATACTGACACTGTGACAGCTCGGTTACTTCTACCACGCGGCCTGGGTAAATTTTCCCGTGTCGAAAGTCCAAGTGCGGACAGTGGTCACATTTGACCATTTCTCATTTTACCATCGTCTCGGTAAAACCTTCCCAAAAAAAAGTCCAGTGCGGACACGGCTAAAGTCTAAAGCAGACTTCGAAGATATCCTGTACAATAAACACCCTCAACGTTCACACAATAGAACTTGAGTGAATGCGATTTCCAAACGTTTAAGTAATTCTGATTGCAGCATTTTCGGAATGAAAAAACGGCCACAAAGAAAAACGTTTGTATGACGGCATTGTTGGAACGAAAGCACGATCACTAAGGGGGATCAACGCATTGCGGCATTGTTGGAATGAAAGCACGATCATGGGGGATCAACACATCGCGACATTGTTGGAATGAAAATACGGTCACAATGTCTGGAGAGTTGAGCCTTGGTTGACCGCATTATTGATTGCGGCATTGAAAGAATTCTTCACACAAGCGACACCAGATAAGGCGCACCTGTAGATAAGGCGCAGCGATGTTTTTGTGGTCTAGAAAGTCAGATAAGACGCGTCTTATCCGCAGGAAATTACGGTACACACCGTGACAGAAGAAACACGTTGACGCTTTTGAACAGTTGGGTATTGAGCTCTTTACTGGATAAATTTGACTTGTTGCACATTGTTCACTGTTTTATCTTTCAGATCTTGTGCTGTTCGTCAATGGCGTTGTGTTTGTTTACAAGACCATAGTCCTATCAAGTAAGTAATCAGATTGTCGTCTTTTTTTCTCACTTTATTTATTTATTTATTTATTTCTTATTTTAACTGGGTAGCCCATTCAGTGGAATCCACTGATCTCCCATGGGTCCCAGTAAAGAGAAGACAATGTGAAGAAATTACAGTTTTAGAGGTGGGAGGAAAAGCCCAGAAGAGTATTCTGAGGAAAACCCACGATATCAGGTAGGGACTGAAAACACAATCCACATGTTGACCCAGGCGGGATTCGAACCCGGGTCACAGCGATAGAAGGCGAGGAAAGTACTGCTACGCCAACCTGACTCCCCTAAACAGAAAAAGAAGTAAACATTTCTCATGGTTTTCTTGCCTGAAAATTCTTGACTGTGGTCCAATGGTAACGGTGTTGGACTCGCGTGCCGTGGTACGTGGGTTCGAACCATGATGGGACCATGGTGCATGTGTTGATGGGCAAGACACACAAAGGGAGAACAACAGATCCTTTGTGTCCTCAGGCATTGCGTCTTTTGTTGAAAAACGGTCCTCGATCGTACGGTTATGTGCTTAGTCTGTGGGAGAGTGTAATATAACAGGGACAAAGGGAAACACAAAGCATTGTCCTCGGGAGTGTAGTAAAACACGACTGTGTGTTCATGAGTTGATTGCCTGCGAAGTAGGCGACAAGTTGTGAAGCCTCGTTTGTAGCATAATCTGAGAAAAGATTAACAGAAAAAGAAGTAAAAACTGTGTATTCTTTAAAAAAAAATTGCTAACTCAAACACCACCACTGGCTTTTCATTTCAGATACGGAGGACATGTCCCAGATTGACAAAGGGATTATTGCTGTGGACTGGTATGACTGGGCCTTCATTGGCAGTGAGTGTTCAACCATGTTAACACACATTTAGCTTAAAATTGTAACAGTTAAGGGCATGAATGCACAGTGCAATTGCATAATGGGTCATTCTATAAACTTGGGGTCCAAAGTGTGACATCCTTCCTTAAAACCAATGTTATTGTACGATTTTAATACTATTTCTTTCAAATATGTGTACATTTTTATACTATTTCTTCAAAATATGTGTAAATGGGCAGGAGTGGTCTAGCGGTTGGGCACAGGATTCATGATCGTGAGGTTGTGGGTTCCAGCCCCGCCGTGGCCATGCGTGTTGTGCCCTTGAGTAAGGTGCTTTACCTCAGTTACTCCTCGCAACCCAGGTGTTAAATGGGTACCGGCATTATTCAATGCTGGGAAGGTAACAGACTCGCTGTGGACTCGAGTCATGGACTCGAGTCTGGCCCAATCGCTTCAAAAGAGAGATGGGCACTCCGTTCCTGTGAACACAGGTTCATCCCCCCTTTTCATATGTATTATAGACATGTCAAAGAATACTAATGTCAATAAATCTGAAAATCAAAAAACAAAAACAAAACACTCCCATTCATATTTTTTACTTTTTTCTCTACTGCCGCCTGTGCCCAGTTTGTCTCATGTTGCCAGATTGTCTCACATATACCACATGTAAGCAACTTCATGTTTTCTGTCTTTTACTTGTGTTCAGTATACTGTGGCGAAATCCTCCTCAAGATCGTTGGACTTGGAGTCAGTGGCTACATCAGCTCTGGATGGAACATGTAAGTCATTAATCAATATCTTTTACACGGCCCCTCTGAAACTAAAGGTCAATGAATTCAGGTGATTCACAATGCAGTGCGCCACCAAGAGTTGGCCACGGAGAGTTCATTTTCCCAGTGCATTGTGGGAGATGGTCGACAAATTCACAGCGCGGGACATTCGAAATTGTTAGTTTTTCCGGTTGGTAGTTTCGTAAGCGTATGAATCAAGTATTTGTTTGCCCCTTTCTTTTCTTTTTATCAATAATGAATTTTTTTGTAAGGCAGCAGAACACTATGCCCCAATCTATAACAAATTAGCTCAAGTAGTCTTCTGACACTCAAATGGGTCATTTATTTGTCGACCGTAAACTTGAAAAATTGACTCTCCATAGGCAAAGTCATGGTGGCGCACTGCATTGTGAATCGCCCAAATGAACTTTAAATTCTGTTACAAAACATGATGCTCAGAGCCTCTTTATGTATTGACTTTATCATTCATATTCAAACCTTTCAATCATTATAAAGTAGTTTTGTCAGTTATCAGTAGGTTTCTCTGAGGGTGAAAAATTGGCAAGTTGAATTCAAGCAATGGTGTAAGAGTTTAAAAAAGAAAAACTTTCACAGTTTTGGTTATTAGTTCATGAGATGAAATTTTCTTGGGAACACATTTTATGCAGTTTTCTACTCCTCTTCAATGTATGAAAACTATTGACATTCCTTTTTGGTTAATTTTATTGAAAGGTGCTTTTCTTTAAACATTTTTACAAAGTTCCATGCTTTTCTGGACAACTGAGGGCGCTGTTGCTGTGATGTCATTTCAGGAAGACACTGTTCAGTTTAGGGGTTTTCTGTTCAAATTATGTACCCAAAAATTGTTTCATTGAAAACATTTGTGAGAAAGCTTTGCTCATTGGATAATACTGCCATGTACTGACACAACGAATCACCAAAGAAAAGAAATTTTACAACACCGAAATGTCCAAAATTCTGTCAACTTTTGGTGTTGAAATAGCAGTAACATTGCGGTTTCTGCCTTAAATGACATCACGCTTTTGCTTATGAACACGGAATTTGCATCAGCATAAAAACCAAAGGGCACCAAAATACCCTTGAAAATGGCAAAGCAAAAAAGTTGAAAGGGGTGAAATGGGACACAAAGGTGCATTTTTCAAGGATTACAATAAAAAGCTATTTATTGCCACAATGAAGAGTGCCACCTATTGTCATGGTGTCCAATATCGTCGGCTTTGAACAGAACCTCCACTAGTTTGAACAGCACCTTCACTAGTCAGATGGTGGCTGGCTGACCAGAAAAACATCCCTGGCTCCCTTTCAGCACGATGAGTTCTGCCCGCCCCCCCCCCCCTCTTTCTTTACTGATTGCAAGCTGGAGGTTGTTTGTCAAAATGTCCTGATTTCAAAGATATTCCCTTTTTTTTCAAAGCTTTGCTGGGGTTCCTTTGTTTTGTAGATTTGATTTTGCAGTGACAGTCATAGCCTTGCTTGGGATGACCATTGAATCCGTCAGCTCAGCGTTCTATTTTGTCATCTTGAGACCTATACGGCTCCTGAGGTAAGCATCAAGAACCCATAGTAACTCACTGTACCGCCCTGTACCGCCCCAAACCGCCCCGCCTGGTTACTCCTTATAGCGCTTGATGCCACCCCAGCACTGCATGGCTTCATGGAATCATTAGGGAATAAATACAATGTAATACAATGTAATACAATGTAATACAATGTAATACAATGTAATACAGTGTAATACAAATGTACAAACAGGTGCTAGTGAGTCACTCAGTGCATTCCTAATCCAAGGGATGGGAGAGTTTACAGCACAGAAGAATATCCAGATACAAATGGGTCGTTCTATAAATTTAGGGTACAAAGTGTGACATTTTTTCCTTTCCATGTTATTTGCGATTCAAGTATCATTATAAAAAAAATGACTTAAACTTATTTATAAACAAAAATTGGGTGAGTAGTTTGCTATTATAAAGAATGACTTTAAATTTTTTGTGGGGGGGGGGTGGTAGGTAGTTTGCTATTCATAATCACTCTTGGAGGACGACTGCATTAAGGAGTGCATCAGAATTATACAATCATAGATGTCAGATGTAACAGGGACGGGAAATAAAGTGGACCCCAGATTTACAGAATGACGCATACTGAAATCAGTCTGAGAAATTATGCAACAACCATTCTGTGATGAATAGGATTGCACGCTACTTTCAACGACAAACAAACTACGGAATTTGAATATTAGGACCAGCAAGTCTTATTGCCATCTCGACTGACGCATAATCAAGATACATAAAACCTGCTTTTCAAGGAATGCCCTAGATGATATGCATGATGGTGACAAAACCCCCAGGCAAATTTTTCAGTTGCGCTGCATCTCTAGCATCCTCAGTAGTAAAAACACAAAGTGGATAGTAACTTTAAAATTGTTATTGTGCAAATTTAGGACCAATTTAACTTTTCAATATTTGTTGGTAAATGCCATAGGTTGAAGAAATTTAATTTAGTATAATTTTTTTTTCAGATTGTTCAAAATCAAGAAGAGGTATCGGGATGTCTTTGGAACCTTCTACGTCTTACTTGGTCGAATGTTAAGGTGAGTACAATGTACGTTAGTTTGCATGGAAAGATTTAAAAGCACCAGAATCGTGCGGCGTGTACAGAAGATGTACATGCATGTGGCTCGGAAAAACTAGCGGATTACATAACCAATTTGTGTTATTTCACCAGACCCGCATATCTGCATCTGCAAAAGGATTAATAAAGAAAAAAGTCACCCTGTGTTGACTCGTTTGGAAAGATTTTTTCATTGTTGAAAAGCTAATGAAATATACTCTTTAAATATGTATATTGATATTTGTGATGTATTGAGTGTTCAGATTTTTTGGGGACACCTGGTACTTCTGAAAACTGGTCACAAGAAATATTACTTTTTTCCAAGTCACATGATTGCAAGTCTGGCTTGAGTTTCAAGTAGGGGATAAAGAAATAAAAAAATATTGAGCTCATTAAGCGGGAGTTATGTCAGCAACTGATTTGGTTTCTTTGCAGTGTGGGCATTGTCATTATCGTCATGTACTACTTCTACGCCATCATCGGAATGGAGCTCTTCACAGACGTGAAGCTTAAAAACTGCTGCAAGTAAGTCTGAACTTTGAATATTGAAAAACAATGTGTAGACCAGATGCAGGATAACTTTCTTTGAATATTAACCATTCATAAATACTTAAGAGAGTTTACCTATTCCTATTGGTCGAGAGCCCATCACGTGGTCAGTCTAAAACGAATGATAAAGACATGGCTGGCTGGTCTTAAACACTTTTCCAGTGTCACATGAAATTTGGACTCCCATGAAATTCAGTGCCTCTTACCGTTTTATTGGTTGAATGTTCACAATCCTCGCGTAGGCATGCGCGCAAGACTACCAGTGAGTCAGTATTTCATAGTCCTAAATTCACAACTCACCACAGCTGCATCTGCCATCATCGTGCAGTACGCGCGACGCTCGCGCCAATCTCCATAAAGGAGTTGTTTACATCTTACTTGCGAGCTGGAGAAAGGAATCTCTTGACCCTCGCTTGTTGAGTATAAGTTGAAGTTGGTATTTTCTCTTTTTTGTTCCACCACAGGAATACAACCTACGAGTCGTTCTTTAGTGAGGACGGCAGGTTTTTCTTCTATCTGAACAATTTTGAGAACATTCTTTTCAGCTACGGTGAGTAAAAAGACGTTGCACTCTCAGAACCCTTCAAGACCTACCCATTTTTAAAAGCATGTTAAACACCACACTGTTTTTAAGCTCTGGCAGGAGCATCTACTTGTCACGTGCTGGTCAGTCGGTCTGTCCACGGATCCTCTACACAAGGACAAACGACTTCCCCAAATTTCTGGTTACATGGCTGATACAGCACCTGGGCGTCGTGCGTGAGCGTGTGTATGCGAGACCGCACACACGCATACATGTACATGTTTACGTTACATACCTAGTGTGGACATTCCCTTGGTTTTGTGTAGTTAAGAAAAACCTCTGAAAACAACGCATTTTAACTCTCACTGTGAAAACACTTTCAATCCAATTTTTTTCTATGATTCCCTTCAGTGTTTCTCTTCTTTTTGCCATGGATAAACCTAACCCAAAAATGCCTCGAAACCTGTTTTCCAGAAAGGGAGAAACACTGTGTGGACTTACCCACGTCCACACAACGTCGCTGCTACATGTACCTGGTTTATGTGGACCTCTTTTGTTCGGAAGTCCACACAGTGAATGTAATGCCTACCCACGACTGCAGACACAGATGATTTTCGAGTTGTCAAGTCATTGTCTATCAGAGAAGGCTTCACCAATCTTGTTCTAATTGTTTTTTTTAAATTTATTTTTATTCCAGTGACGCTATTTGAGCTGACAGTTGTGAACAACTGGCATGTGATTATGGTAAGCGAATATCCAGACAAAACATTTGTTGGTGTATTTTTCACAATCTTCTGCTGTAATTAAAGTGTCAGGGATGCCAGTTTTCCAGTATTTCATCCCTTCACAGGCCAGAAAATTAACCCTCGTGTTGCGCACATCAAACAATTTAAACAGAAAAGAAAAAGTGGCTACATCATTTTTCAGCTAATAGACAAATTTGTTATGCATTGTCTGATTGTCTCTCATGAGCCAATAAAAAAATTTGTTACGCGCTGCATGTGGATTGAAAACCCAATCCACATAGTGGCCCAGGCGGGAATCGCAGCGGTGGAAGGCAAGGAAAGAACTGCTACGCCAACCTGATTGTGGTCGAGTCCAGCTCAAGTCCTGACAAGGCCATCACAACTCTTCCTGTCCCAAACTATTCAAATGAAGTGGGACAAAGGCAAGTTCCTTGTGACTGGACTTAGGAAAGGACTTGTGATGGACTCATCTACAACACTGTGTTATAATATAACTTAATTGAATATGAAGTTCCTGTTTTGTCTTTACCATGTAATTACATGCATGTAAAATACCCTTTAATTTCTGTCCCTTTTTTTCTAGTTTGGTATAGCTCACACCACCACGGAATGGAGCAGAATCTACTTCATCTTGTTCTACCTCTCAAGTCTGGTAAAGAAATCTTTCTTTTTTGTATGTGAATTTTCTGGTTTAAATCAGAGTAATGCTGCACGAAATAGTATAGGATAGAGACTGAGGTGAACTGTATGTTGTTCAGCATTGGACTTGAAATTTATGCAAGAAACGATTAGACTCAAGAGTTGACCTCAGCAGAAATCTTTGCATGTGTTAGCTCCAGACTGTTTCAAATGTCAACGTTTATGTACTTTATTGAAATTGTTACTTGTAGATCTTTACAGAAACAATTGTCTGTGTTTTCAGGTTGTTGTGACGATCATCGTGACATTTATCCTGGAGGCCTTTGTCTTCAGGATGCAGTACGGACAGCGCAACTCTCAGGCAGATGAAGAATGTAAAGTTAACCTATCAGTGTTGAACCTATTACTCCCTGTACCGCCCCAAACTGCCCTCTGCCTGTTACTCCCTGTACCGCCCCAAACTGCCCTCTGCCTGTTACTCCCTGTACTGCCCCAAGTTGCCCTGCCTGTTACTCCCTGTACCATCCCAAACTGCCCTGCCTGTTATTCCCTGTACTGCCCCAAACCGCCCTGCCTGTTACTCCCTGTACCACCCCAAGTTGCCCTGCCTGTTACTCCCTGTACCACCCCAAACTGCCCTGCCTGTTATTCCCTGTACTGCCCCAAACCGCCCTGCCTGTTACTCCCTGTACTGCCCCAAGTTGCCCTGCCTGTTACTCCCTGTACCATCCCCAACCACCCCAGCACAGACTGTGTGGTACATCAGGAAATATTAAAATACAAGAAAGTATATTTTTTTTAGATTTTTGTCCCACAATTTATCAATCATTTTTTCCTCAAATATTGACAACTGATTCGTGTGAATTGTTTTGCTGTCATTCGTTGCACAGTTGTGAGCTCCATCACCACGGAGATGACGTTATCGGTCCAGGAACTTGACAGGTTTCACCCACCAGAATCAAGGAACGATGTCTCCCTAGCAGTGCTACACACCATGCTGAGAAATGTGGTAAAGACAATTGTGTTGTTGTTTTATATTAGTCACATAAAATAGGACAGAGGTTCATTGCCTTCAGGGTTATTTGCTTACTTTGCTCTGTATAACAACAGGGCCCAATTTCAAAGCGCTGCTTAACAGTTAGCAGAAAGGTTGTGCTTGCTATAGAAGAAAATCATGCTACTGCTTAAAGCCCAATTTCATGGCCTGGATGTGCTAACGGCTGCACACTTATGGAGATTTCAGTTGTTACGTCACTGACTTAAAGCAATATTTGCCTTTGGGGACATGCTTTGCTGTGCTAACTGCTTACTGTCTATGAAATAGACAAAGGCTTGGTGGTACAAAATCGGCTGTTAAGCAGCGCTATGAAATTGGGCCCAGTTCGTTAACTTCATCTCTGTTTAGCTATTTTAGGGTACATTGTTGTCTTGAATTTTGATTTCGAAAATAGTTTGCTGTTGTCTTACTTTGGTTTTATTTTCATCTGTTTCCTCATTTTACTAGCCTGGAAGAGTGTTAACATACAGGGGATCCAGAAAAAGAACAAAAGCAGATCTTAGTAAGACAATGTATGCTGACGAAATTAAGGTAAGGGTTGTGCTTTGTCATTAAACAATTTTGGTCACAAGTAACAGGAGATTATCCATGACAAAAGAATGCCTTTAATTTGTCACATTTCATATGAAGAGTTTTGATATGACTTGAGACTAGAGGACTTTATAAGCTAAAGTTGTGGTAACTTTTGGTGACTTATGACTGACTTGCTCACAACTCTTGGTAGATACATAGTCAGTGTAACTGTGTGTTTTTTTCTCTGTTCTTTGCAGGAGTGGGTCCGGGAGCAAGACCAAACCCAGCGCCAAGACCTCCAGCAGTTCTTAGTCCGGCAACTCAGTAGGTGCGGCTCCTTTGTGCTCCTCCCGAGACCGGTCGATGCCCTGTCCCCCGATGAGGAAACCGGTCACCACAGTGACAGCGACGAGGACAATGACAGCACGACCGCGTGCCAGCAGCTGCAGACGTTCGCTGAGGAGTATGTGACCAGTCCCATTGACAAGGAACTGGAGTGCTGGTCCAGCGGGATGGACCGACCGTACTGGGAAGAAAAAGAGGATAGCCTGCTCCCAACGCGAAAATCCAACTTCGCTTGGATCAAGGACAACATCAGCCCCGACAAGAAATCATCTTGCCAGTTTAGAAATGTCAGGATTGAGGATGACGATGATGATGAACTCATCAAAGCCTGAGAGACGTCTTCGTGAGAGATACATCCGCGGCGTTCTCTGGGGTTGCAAAGGGGGCAGGACGACTGGGCGGGCACAATTATCAAGGCCAAAAGTTAGCAAGGGCCTCTATCAAGACCATGGAGGGTTCTCTCTCAAGACAACTTGCCATTGTGGAAATATTGTAGACCAGGTACTTGTGGTGGCTCACAAATCAATCGCACAGTCGATCACAAGGAAATCACATGGCTGATTACAAGTAAATCACATGTCCAATCAGAAGTATCATCAGACGCCCCTAAAGCTGTGCGGTCATTTTTCTACGCACTCACCTTCAATTTGTGTGTGACAACGCGCGTGCGTTGCAAGCGTTTCCTGCGCAGATAATGGAGGGTCTGGGATAAATATTGTGTCTGGTCAGGACCATCACAAGTGCGATCACAAGAAAATTATAGTTCCAATCTCAAGTAAATCATATGTTTAGCCACAAGTAAATCCTATGTCTAATCTCAAGGAAATCACAAGTCAATCTACAAGACCAGTCATAAGAAACATGGACTAACAACACCGCAATGCCTTTGTCACAGTCCATTTGAATATCTTGCTATATGATTACTTGCGATTGCTTTGTGATTACTTGCGATTGCTTTTGATTACTTGCGATTGCTTTTTGATTACTTAGGATTGCTTTGTGAAGACTTGTGATTGCTTTGTGATTACTTGTGATTGCTTTGTGATTACTTACGATTGCTTTGTGATTACTTGCGATTGCTTTTGATTACTTGCGATTGCTTTTTGATGACTTGAGATTGCTTTGTGATGACTTGCGATTGTTTTGTGATTACTTGCGATTGCTTTGTGATAACTTGCGATTACTTTGTGATTACTTGTAATTGCTTTGTGAATACTTGTGATTGCTTTGTAATTACTCGCGATTGCTTTGTGATTACTTGAAATTGCTTTGTGATGACTTGGGATTGCTTTGTGATTACTTGTGATTGTTTTGTTGCAACTTGTGATTACTTGTGATTGCTTTGTGATTACTTGTGATTGCTTTGTGATGACTTGTGATCCATCACAAGCACTTAAACTGCAATACTGCTCCGATCTAATCCTTTCTGTAGTGCAGACGGAGATATCTGTTTATAATTTGGTGCTTAAATCATAATGATTTTACTTATTTTCTAGCGATCGCTAAAATCACGACGAAGGATATTCAACTTTGTTATTAGCTGAAATGGGAAGTGGCCGACTTAAGAACATAGTAGTAAGTTAGTAAAAAGTGGCAGTCTAAAATGTGGACTGGAGGCCCCACCCTCCCAAAACAGTATTTGAAGAACACTGGAGATGCCATCATGGTGCCTATCATTACAGATAAATTCCCGGAGCATTGTGTTGAAATTGAGATTGATCCAGGCTTGAATTTACAATATATGTAGACATACCAAAGAATCGTTTTAGAATGCAATTGGGTTTGCGGATAAACACGCAACGTCTGCTTTAAAGAATTATTGCTTCCAAAAGAAGAGTGTTCTTTCAAAACAAACTTCCTTTGTAGGAGAGATTGGTATTCAATCGCAAAACCTCATCCTAGAATTCATTCCTTTTTTTTTCCAATGTTGAAAAATAACTCATCTTTTTTTAGTCACAGAAGCTTTGTAATTTACAAAGCTTGCTGTAGCAGCCTTTTTTTTTTAATTCAAATATCATGAAGTCTCTGTCTAAAACTTAGAAAGTTTTGCTCTATCTCCAACAAGCAGAGACCATGAGTTTTATTTTATTTTATTTTATTTTTTTAATTGAAGTACGTGTGAGGCTCAAAGCCAACTCATTTAAATCCTTTATTATTAATGGAAATGTTTTTTGTGTATTCATGGTGCAGTGTACATATATTTGGTTAGCATCATACAGATTTGTACAATGACACGTATTTAAGTAAAAAACAATGAACTGAAAACAAAATGGAGTTTTAGAATTTGAGTTGTCCAGTTGGTCTACTTTTGTGTGGGCATTAAACGTCTTTCAGTGCTAAGGGAATTGTTTCTCCCAAAATAAATGATTATCACTGTCTACTTCTGTCTAACAGAAGTGCTTAATAAGCAGAAAACATTCCTTTAATAACTCAGCTTAAACCAGCCACAAGAATTGTACTTTGCCGTCTCATGCTGCTGTATGCAAAAGCTCTATTGAACAACTGGAGTGCTGGTGTGCATGTGTTCGGAGATTGTTGATCATGCAACATATTGTGACAACGATTCGACCAATAACGTTAGACATGCAAAGTCAAATCATGAATATGTATGTTGAACTGTGTATATACTGTCTATCTAGATCTCTGTGTGCATGTGTCTTTATCGCCTGTACATGTACATGTTAAACATGTATCTGTGTCAACATGGATTTCTATTTCGTCAGATTGATAAAAACAGAGTGTTGATTTTCTCTGTGTACAAAATATTACTATCAACTGCAGTAGAAATATAACAGGCATGAGAATCTTCCTGTTTAAACAGGAAATCCTGTTGGGTTTTTTTGTTGTTGCAAATTTCCGCGTTTTTATTTATTTTGGGCCTGTTTGGGGGCTTGTTTTGTCTGATTTCACATCTTTTTTTTCCTGTTTTTCCACAAGTTTCCTGTTTTTGCATTGAAATTCATTCTCATGCCTGATACAAACATAGCTTTCAATGTGCTGTTTTGGCACGTGATACTTTTATGCTCTGAAGAAGAAAAAAACACTTTTGTACAGATAATTTTCTTAAATAGACAAAGTTTATATTAAAACAAAATACTATATGAGTAACTAGTATTGAGTATAACTGTCAGGGAACAAAGTATTAATATTACATTCCATGATTGCTTTCACATTAGTACATACTGTATAAAAGTTGGCCAACAATAATTCTTAAATAATTCTTAAATAATTCTTGCAAAAGAATGCACTAGCCTTAACTTGATAGTCCGTGTTGTATGGCACGCAAAATTAACATTAAATGCGGAATTAGAGATGTCTCTATTTCTTTAAAAAAATCTTTATTTGAAATGGAGATGTGCATAACTTAGAATTGAGATTTGTGCAGGATGCCAAGTTATAGCTGATGTATTTTTTTTGACCCTTGAGTATTAGGGTAAGTTTGTAATAGAGATACCTCTATTTAGGATTTAACGATAAAATCTGCACGCCATAGTGTCGTGTTTGATAGTGGCAGTGGAGCAGCCCTCAGCATTTTAAATATGCTTAGTGTCAAAATAATAGGTCAGGTCGGCTTATTAACAAATAAATCAATGCAAAATCTGAACTCAATGGTCTCACTCTCTGATTACCTTTCATATCTCCGGCTCGCACGGAGGAGAGGAGGGCGGTGTGAGCATCACCCCCGCCCACCCGCCCGCCGACAGGTGCGGGCTTGTTCACTCTATCGCTCTTGAACTATAGCTAGACCAATCTGGGCCCGCTACCAACCTGGGCCCGCTACCAACCTGGGCCCGCTACCAATCTGGGCCCGCTACCAATCTGGGCCCGCTACCAATCTGGGCCCTGCTACCAATCTGGGCCCTGCTACCAATCTGGGCCCGCTACCAATCTGGGCCCGCTACCAATCTGGGCCCGCTACCAATCTGGGCCCGCTACCAATCTGGGCCCTGCTACCAATCTGCGCCCGCTACATATAGACCAATCCAGGCACTTCTATCTAAGTTTTTTTTGCATGATATTACAATTTTTGCAACCCACTTGGAGGGGGGGGGGAATTTGCTAGATAAACGGTGAATTTGCCACGAGTTGATACCCAGACTGAACCTGAATCAAGTCCTACTTGCTGTAATTGTACTGGAACATTTTATTCATTTATATATTTATTTGCTTCAGAATAATGGTGTTCCTAAAGAGGGAAGCGGTCGAGCTAATATGAACAATAGGGCTTTGTAAACCATACAGCAAGGAATCGGCACAAAGTTACTTTGAAATTTGAAAAAGTGGGATGAATACCCCGCAAAAATAGTCTTGGTAAAACCTGTGCATATACTGACGAACCCCATTCTACAGAGTGACCCTGGAGGGCGGTGTAGTGTGAAATTCGAACTCCATGAAATACGGATTCATTGGTGGTTTTGCGCACGCCCAATATAAGTTAAGCTAATTGACCTTATGCGTAGCGGCCATCTTAGAGGGCATCTTTTGTTATTTGAAATCAGTAACAATGACTGCACAAAAGGTTCACTCATGCATATCGAAGCAAATTTAAGGCATTGTCCTCTAAGATGACTGCTATGCTGAAGGTCTATTGGGAAGGAGAACATATTTCATAGGAGTTCAAGTTCATAATGACACCGGAATCCAAACACGAGTCTTATAAGATGTGCAAGATAATGATCGGAGAGCCACCATATAATATTTGTGCCATATTTTTTTTCCTAGCGAATTTTCCAATTTGTACGTATTAACTTTTAAACTTTCTTATCTATTTCGGACGTTCTCAAACCTCTGGAAATATGTTTTTATTGCGGGTTACCCTTGTGACCATATCGCGGGAATTTTTGTCGGGCAGCATGCAATTCGAACGTTTTAAAGCAAGAATTCCATAACGTTTCACTAATTTGTTTTTTAAGTGAATAATTTTAAATAGCTAGACATTTGAAAACTTAGGGGGGGGGACTCAAAACTAGGGCATTTTTAAGCATGAATGCGGTTCAAGCGCAGAATATGTGGCTTAGCAATAACAACTGTTCACCAGCCATGTGCAGCAAATTGTTCTGCGTTAGGCTGGCGTTCGGCCAGCTGTCTGTCGCTTCTTAATACAGGGTGAGTAAAAACAAAAGCGACTTCCAAACGGCAGTATCAGTTTTAGAATGAAGTTGTGTATGTAGTACTTTTACAATCTAGGATGTGAAAGCCCAATCAATGAGCTTTCTTTCAGTACAAGAATCATTCAAATCACTCGTACTTTTGTTTTGTTACTCATGTACAATTTACATGCATCCCTATGAGAATTGTTTTCGTTTTGCTGAAAGAACACTTGGTTTTTCGTTTCGTTTTTTTTTACTCACCCTGTAAAATGTAAATTATCTCAACAAACGTTTCAGCTTACAGCAGTCCCATAAAATTAGCCCAGTCCTGATTGTTGCTATTATGAACATCAGACGATAAACATAGTAACAGGGTTCCGGGTGTGCCAACTGGCAGTGAATTGCCAGTCCAAGTTAATTCAAGGCACAATCAAGGGTTCAGAATTTACAATAATGCGACAAATAAAGGAACTATAGCGGTGAAAATCTGTACAGCCAATGACATGTATTAGCATATCCGCGGAAAGAATTTGTCATAAAGGTGAAGTTGCTAATATACAAAAGCAGCTCTTTTTTAGCGAATCCGGGTTCAACCATTCATTGTTAAGATCTGCCCTCTATACTTTTTGGTGTGCATATTTTTTTAGGATAGGAATTTTTCACTATGAAAGAGAGCAGACGGCTGATACACGACATATGGCGTTAGTAAGATATGCTTTGTCCTGAAACTTGAACATGGAACAGCAATCGTAAATATTGCATCCGGGTTTTTTGTAATTATACAAATTAACCATGGTTTATAGCAACGGGGGTGAAACACGAAGCGTCCTTAACAACCGCTCAGTTTCCCTTAAGGATCACTACCAAGAGCTTTCATTCCAAATTTCCTCTTTCCCACGACTAGTTATAAAAAAAAAACCTGCTGCATTGTGTGAGGTCATTTTGGTACAAGATTTTAAAACGGGTCTCGTGTGACGATAACTCAAGCGACATGTCTCGGTGCGGTTTGCTCCTTCCAGTCATCTTTGTGACAAGTAAGTTCTTGCGATCAGTACTTGATGAAACAAACGTCCATTACTCGTTACTTGTTACCTTTGTCTATGAGTAAAATCCTGCTAGAATGGCAGTGTTAGGCTCTCTAACATTTCATAGGACTATATTTCAGGAAAATCCAGTCAGTAAGCAGTATGCAGCATTTTTATTCGTTTTCCATCATCCTTGTAAAACTTGCTGAATTCTTATCCAATAGTGGAGTAAGAAAGCTGTTTCTGACACCATAAATAAAGGAAGTTGGGGCTAGCTGAAGGCTGTAAGAAGTCACTGAAGCCACGGAATCCGCCCCCCCCCCCAACTTTTTCCGCGATACCCTTGCAAAAAGATATTTTCCCGACCCGAGCTTTCCTGACTTTTTAACCTCGAGTCTTGCGCATCTTTTGATACCAAAAAAATAAATTCCGACCATAGGTTACCGCGCAGCTAATTTTTTTTCGGTGCTACGCCGCGAAAACTGAATTTCCCCATATAGTGTACACAAAGCAGAAATACCATTGGTGCATATGAATAATTAATTAGCCACAATTCCAAAACCCTTTAACCTAAAGTCATGACATTTCTTGGGTATGTTAATATTAGGTTTTTCGTCACTCGATGGCTGAGATCTTAGGGGGCAGTATCCGCCCCCCCCCCCCCCCGAGAGAAATAACCCGGCCCCTTTAGGGTTAAAAAAAAAAATACATGAGTTTGAAAGCGAAGTAACATTATGAGTGTAGTACTAGTAGGCTTCAAAGAAACTTTCTTTGGAAACTAAGAACTAAGAACAAATTAAGAAACTAAACCTGTAAGAAAGATCCACGATGACTTTATTTAATGATGACTTTATTACAATTATTTTAGGGGAAACAATTAGAAAATTGCACGAAAGTTCTAGGATATTTTAGAAAACCTCAGGAAAAAAAGTGTCGGGATAAGGAAATTCATGTTTGAAAAGTGGATGGAAGCCATGCGCACGCAGCATTAGGCTTATGCCCCTCTCCGAATTGGCTAGCCTGGTCCTGGCCATGGAAGTGGCCCTAGAGCCCTAGTCTCAACCCATGTGGTCCGTATAGTTCCCCAAAATGTCCTTATTTTCTTCAAACTTTTTTGTTTTAATTTTCTCTTATATTTTGGACATTTCTTTGAATTTCCGCGATGCAATGTTTTTCTTTACGCCGAAGCGACTCGTCGACGGGATACAGCACAAAATGTACTTACGGCAGCAGGGTAAAATCGCCGTTCTGGAGCGGAGACTATTCATGTGCACTTCGGGTACTCGACCAAAACCGGGCCGAACACGGTCAAAAAGATCGAATGCATTTTCAGATGAGGAATAAATTGACACAAAAGTCATGTGTGCCTAATTCGAAACCGTCAGATGTTTTACGTTGAACAAAATGCATTCGAATTGTAAAGACATATGTTCGGTTTGTAAAATTTCATTCGGTTTTGGAAAATGCAATCAGGTAGTCAAAATAGCACGTTCGATGTTTCGAAACGTTTTTTTTTTTTTTTAATACATTTGATTTTCAAAGACGCGTTCGGTTTTTAAAAATGCATTCTCTTTTGGAAAATGCATTTCGCTTATCAAAATACACGTAATATCAGACAGACAGGAATTTTGTTTTCAAATACATTCCGTTGTTCAAAATATGTGTTTCAATCTTTTTGTACTTTAATTCGGATTCGTAGAAAAATATGAACCAAATTTCGAATATTTATATCACTTAATAGTTGCACTAGGCGTAGACGCATTACGACCGGTCGATGACAATCCTTGCTATCGATCATGCGAATCGTCCTTCCCCATGACCTGCGTTTATAACTGGACCGTCACATGGTACTATGCCATGTCACCACAGGTAATTTTATTTTGTGGACAACAGTGACATTTCTTCAGTGATTTGTAACTTCAAGTTCTAGGGTTAACATGGAAACAGGATGGAAATGATAGCTCGACAGCGGCCATGGTAACAATGAGATAACGACACTTAAAAACGAATATTATTGACGATGACATGAAAAATACCACAAGGCTAACCAGGACACTGACTACGACATTACGACCACCATGGTAACGATAAGGACGACGACTATTGAATATTGATGGCTTCAGTACATGCATGTGATGACAGGGGCAAACGATATGTCTTTTTATCGAGAAAGACGGTAAAGAACCATGACCTTGACAATGACCACGACACTACGGCCACGCTGATCAAGATAATGACGACGACGATGACACCAAGACGTATCGGTGTGGTAACTATAATGATGGTACAGGTAAACTGTCTTTTGATTGAGGAACACAATGAGGGTGACGATGACAACGATAATGATGACGACGACACCAATAATGACGACGACCAATGTGTATTGATGGCTTCCATGACGATGATATGGGCAAACCATCTGTCTTTTGATTGAGAAAGGCGATGAGGGTGAGCATGACCATGACAACGGCCACGACACTCCGACTACGATGATAACGATAATGACGACGATGACACCAATAATGACGATGACAATTAACGTGCCGTCAATAATGCAAGATGGTACGGGCAAACCGTCTTTTGCTTGAGAAACACAATGAAGGTGACCATGATCAAGACACGATTACCACACTGCGATCACGACGATAACGATAATGATAACAATGATCACACCCATGACGATGACAATGAGATGACGATGGCTTCAATACGGAGGATAAGAGAGGGAAACTATCTGCTGTTTTTGATTGACAGTGCGGTGATGGTTCGGTGCGGTGTCCCACCAACGCGACGGCCTGCAGTAACCCAGGCTGCGTCTCGGTGGACGGGTTTCCGCGAGCAATCAGTGTCATCAACCAAGCTTTTCCCGGACCCAGTATCCAGGTATGTTGATTGGAAGACATTTTTGCTTTGCATGTTTGCTACAAAACCACACGAAGGAACAGAAATAAAAGGAATGTAAAATGAGATGAGAAGAATGAAAGAAGGTCTCAAGAAAAATTAGAATACTCCGAGATTTTGATTTCGACCATTCATTTTCATTTTGAAAAAAAAAAAATTAAGAAGGAAAGCGGATATTATACAAATGATAAATGTTTATGGGTGCAATGGTAAGTATAATTTTAATGAGATGACAAATGGAATGTTTCATTCCACAAGGCGAAGCCGAGTGTAATGGAACATTCCATCTGTCACCTCATGAAATTACTTTTTCCACTGCACGAATGTGAAACATTAATTATTTGTTTTATACAACACCCGAATAAATCCTCGTCATCTGATTGGTCAGAGCCACCGACAGGCGTGGATCATGGAATGGAACTTCAATTTCTTTGCGGTGCGGCCGGGCCGTGGGCTGGGACGAATAATTCAATTACATGTGATCAACCACCCACCAATCAGATGGCGGAGATTTATTCAGGCATTGTATATAAAAAAAAAAAATCACATTCAGGAAGATTCATTTCACATCTATCTTGAAAATCGTCTATTATTCTCTTCTTCCGCATGTAAATCAATGTTTAATATTCCATGTTTTTCATCTTTGTTTTCTTGTTTTCTTTTCTCAAGATTTGTACCGGTGACGAGGTAGTGATCAACGTGGACAACCAAATGACCAACAACGAGGGCGTGACGATCCACTGGCATGGCCTCTTCCAGAACGGCAGCCAGTTCATGGACGGCCTGCCTATGGTGACACAGTGCCCCATACCCTCCCCAGGAAAGTTCCAGTACAGGTTCGTGTTGCCCGTCTTCTGTTTTATTTTTCTGCAGCTGGGTTCAATTATCAAAATACGCATGCGTGAATTATATCATGTACATGTGAAATTACATTTTAGGGGAGATTGAAACGATACCAGTCTGGGCACCTTATAAATTCTATCACGAAGACCCGCTTCAGTGGCGAAGAAATTGTGCTGCTTATTGTTCTATAATCCGTCATGGGGCAGTTGCTTTGTTCAAAAACGTGCACAATGCGTTCACCACTGAAGGAGGCCTCTCTCTCTTCTGTGTAAAATATCAGCAATTCTCAGTCATTATTTGCCAGACTCTGCTGGTCTTTGCCGATCTCTGCCGATCTCTGCTGGTCTCTGCCGGTCTCTGTCAGACTCTTACATTCTCTGCCGGTCTCTGCGGTCTCTGCCAGACTCTTCCAGTCTCTGCCGCGGTCTCTGCGGTCTCTGCCAGATTCTGTAGGTCTCTTCCAGACTCTACCGGTCTCTGCCGGTCTCTTCCAGACTCTGCCGGTCTCTGCCGGTCTCTTCCAGACTCTGCCGGTCTCTGCCGGTCTCTGCCAGACTCTGCCGGGCTCTGCCGGTCTCTGCCAGACTCTGCCAGTCTCTGCCAGACTCTTTCAGTCTCTGCCGGTCTCTGCCGGTCTCTGCGAGACTCTGCCGGTCTCTTCCAGACTCTGCCGGTCTCTGCCAGTCTCTGCCGGTCTCTGCGAGACTCTGCCGGTCTCTTCCAGACTCTGCCGGTCTCTGCCAGACTCTGCCGGTCAAATCCAGACTCTGCCGGTCTCTGCCAGACTCTGCCGGTCTGTGCCAGACTCTGCCGGTCTCTTCCAGTCTTTGCCAGTCTCTGCCGGTCTCTGCGAGACTCTGCCGGTCTCTTCCAGACTCTGCCGGTCTCTGCCAGACTCTGCCGGTCTGTGCCAGACTCTGCCGGTCTCTGCCGGTCTCTACCAGTCTCAGCACGTCTCAGCCAGTCTTTGCACGTCTCAGCCAGTCTCTGCCAGTCCCTGTCATACCAGTCCCTGCCAGTCTCTACCAGTTTCTGCCAGTTTCTTCTGCCAGCCTCTGCCAGGCTGTGTCAGCCTCTGCTAGTCGGTCGGTTGGATGGTTGGTCGGTTAATCGGTACCGTAGTTATCGGTTGGACTGTTAGTCAATATTGACTCTTCTTACCTAATAAAAACGCCGTTCTCCTACTGAGAAGCGCTCTCCTGTTGGTCGCAAAGTTGACCCTGTGTTAAATTCACACCTAAATATTCACTGCGTAGGTAAACCTCACGAAAGCTACGCAGACAGTTTGATTGACTGGCGGTGATCGCTTAAAATAGTAAAGATTCAGTTTTCTAGTGTGTCTCAGGACGTAAAGCCCCGGTCACACATTCACGGTTTGGAGCTACGGATCTCCACTGTTTAAAATTCGCGATAAACCGTGGGAGTACTGTATTCATCCTTAGTGCCTCCGTGGTTATCCGCCATCATCCTAGGGTATTCGTGGAGGGGCTACGGAAGTTTTAATACTGTTCTAAACTTCCGTGGTGAATCGTCATGAAAATCAATCCGTAGTCATGGGCGTCGCCAGGATTTTTTCTAGAGGGGGGCAAACATTTTTTTTGCCAAAAAATGCATGTATTTCTCAACACATTCTCAATTTATCAGTTTTAGAGGGGGGCAGGGACATTTTGCCCCCCCCCCCAACTCATTAAATTTACACCACTTTGTCTTCGCGCCTCTTTTTTTTTTCTTTCTTTTTTCTTTTTTTCTTCCTTTTTTTTTTCTTTTTGCTTTTCCAGGGGGGGGGGGGGCAAGTGCCCCCCTTGCCCCCCCCCCTCGCAACGCCCATGTCCGTAGTGCAACCGTGGGACATCCGTAGGACAACTGTATTATTCGTGGTTATTCGTACATATTCTTTGAGACTCGTAGCTCATTCGTGGTAGAAATCTCTACGAATTCGCTACATATGTCCTACGGATATGCCCGGATATGCTAGGGTTCTGCGAAGATTGTACTTCGAATATGCCGCAGGAGAACCTTGGTTATTCGTGGCCCAATCGCAGGCAACCGTGGCGTTAACGTCATTATTCTTAGTAATACCGTCGATATTCTTGACAAACCGTGGTGTATTCGTATAGAGAAACCGTTGGACAGTCGTGGCTATCCGTCCTGAAACCGTAGTGCATTCTTAGAAAGTCGATTTCTCCACAAATCTCGACGGTTCATCGAAATCGATTGATTCTTGGTAAACCGTGGATATTCGTAGCCCCAACCGTGAATGTGTGACTGGGGCTTTAGACTTAATGCTTGACTCTTGCCGTAGGTTTACACCGTACGAGGCCGGCACTCACTGGTACCACGCCCACACGGGTCTGCAGCGCGGTGACGGCGTGGCCGGGTCGTTCGTCATCAGGGAATCAAGCCGAACCAATCCCAACGCGGGCCTGTATGACGAAGACCGGGCTGAAGATGTCATATTCCTGAATGACTGGCACCACGACATCATGGTCTCCAACTTCGAGAAGCAAAACATCGGCGGCGGCAACGTAGGCGTCGATTCCATATTGATAAACGGTAAGCACAATGTCGTAATTGCCATTATTGTGACTGCATCCATCCAACTGGTTCAATTTTAGGCTAATCATGAACACAGAGGTTCGAGCGGCACTACTAGCCCAGAGGAAAGTTAGGCGGAAAAGTCTTCTGTTGCGTGGGTCCTCGGCATTAAATTATTGATTTGTTTAATTGAGGTTACTGCAGCTGCAATGGATCGATTTTGATTGGCTTGTTTGTTTGTGTGTTTTTTTACGCGGATGTGCCAACAGGTAAAGGCATTCCGTTGAGTGGATCTCCTCCATTCGTTCCCATAGAGGTGTTCAATGTGCAGAGTGGGACCAGATACAGATTTCGGGTGATCAACGGCGCCAACTTTTTCTGTAATCTGCAGTTCTCGGTCCAAAGTGAGTATAGGCTTAGTCCCTTTAACGTGACTAGTCTTCGTTTGTCTGTTTTTTGAAAATCGCAAGTGCCGCGTGTAATTCCATAGCACCTTCCTCAACAATTTTCTCCTTGAGTAAAGTTGCAGTGTTGGACAGCCGTTGGGCCGGGGCTAAAGTTTATCTAAATTTAATAATAAGTGTAATAATATCGTTTCGGTTTGCAGTAACACCATGTGGTAATAACTACTGCTTAGAGGATATTTAGTTCTGAAAAGAACTTGTCCTGCTTATTATCAACTTCGCTTAGTAGTTTTGTTCAGATAAGAACAGTCCTGCTTCAAGTTCTAAAAGAACTTGTCTTTGGTCTCAACGTTTCGACTAGCCTGCTCTAGTCATCGTCAGTCTCCTGACGTCATCGTCAGTCTCCTGACGATGCTCTAGTCATCGTCAGTCTCCTGACGATGACTAGAGCAGGTTAGTCGAGCAGGAATATGTGAACCTAGCATTATAACCTGTGTTAGAATACATGAAACTTCTAAGCAAACTCTATGACGCCAGTACTGCTTGGAAAAGTTTCTGGCCAGGAATATACGACCCAATCAAAAACAACAAACATAACTTTGACGTTTGTAACTGGTAGCCTTCTTTCATACATGAGCAAATATTTATTGCGCTTAGAACAATAATTCTGTGATAAATTGCACCACGCTGAATTCGGGCTTTATACTTGGAATGCCCTCGCCCAAAATGTTGGACCTTCCCCCCCCCCCCCCCCAGGTCACAGGTTGTTGGTAATCGCCGGGGACGGGTCCGCCCTGGAATCTCAGGCGGTCGACTACTTCAGGATTAACGGCGGCGAGCGGTACGACTTCGTGCTGAACGCAAACCAGAGCATCGGTAACTACGCAGTACGGGTAGTGGGGCTGGGCTCGTGCGGCGATGGTATGCTTACGGGGAGACAGGTCGCCAGCCTCCACTACGAGACGGCCTCGACTGCGCCGATGCCTCCCAGCCTGCCGAATATCGCCCAGGAGGGCACGCCGGACATCTGGTGGAAGACTTTCCCTAACAAGTCGCTGGCTGAAGTGGACCACAACCTCAAGTCCGGTAGGTGTATCGATCTATGATAATGGGTACTAAGACAATACATACACAATTATATTTAATTGATTCAGAGTGGCTTTACACTGGAATACTTGCAGTGCATCTGGTCTGGTGCTTCATCAACTGTGATAGCCGCGTGATGGGCGCTCGACTAATAAGAATGTGCAAACTGGCATAGGTATTTATAAATATACGATATCACTTTCCGGCTGTGTTATTTCCCACTATAGACTACATCCAGTCATATAGTGACAATCAGTTGGTCAGACATCACTTAGTCGATGAGATGGGTACAGTTAACCCTAAAAAGGCCGGGGCGGAATCCGCCCCCCCCCCCCTCCACTTCTTCCGCGATAGCTTTGAAATTTTTTTTCGCGACCCGAGCTGTTATGACTTTTTAGCCTCGAGCCTTGCGCATCTGTTGATACCTAAAATATTTTCCCATTTACGTTGTGTACACAGAGCTAATTTATTATGAATAATTAATTAGCCATAATTCCAAAACCCTTTGACTTATAGTCACGAAATTTCTTGGGTATGTTCATAATGAGTTGCTCTATGCATGTACGAAGTTTCAAAAATTTTCGTCACTCAATGGCTGATTCAGCCCCCCCCCCCCCGGCTGAGAGATGGTCAAAATAACCCGGCCCTTTTAGGGTTAAGCTGGCCCAATGGGACCGACACAATTATCAGCAACAAAATCATCATTGTCATTAACCATCTGACCGTACTATTCCGCAGGACCAGTCTACATGAACACAGGCTCAACACCCGATGTCCAGCACTACATCGAGACGAGTTTTGGCACCAGGGAGAGCCCCATACCCAACCAGGGAGCCAAGTTTTTCCCCCAGCTCAACAACATCTCCTACTTCTTCCCTACCTCACCCATCATGTCTCAATTTGACGACCTTCCGATGAGCTTGTTCTGCAACGCTAGCAGCTTCCAGACGGGCGAGTGCGAGGGGCTGACGCAGTGCGCATGCGTGCACACCATTCAAGTTGAACTTAACGCGGTAAGGGCTCCAGCCGGTGCATTATTGTACAATGTAGTAAGAAGACAATGATAATATCAAACTAATAGTGTCCGGCAATATTGACAAACCATTTGGGGATGGGAAGACATCGTTATGTACTGAGTGGACTATATTATTTACAATGGCAAGTGTACTGCAAAAACACTAGTTTGCTATGAACAAAGTGCAGTGTAATTATTTCAAAACAAAGCATCTTTTCTTATATACCTTGATATAAAGAATATCCAATCCTTTGCGTCACTTTTGCGTTTTTTTCCTCTCAGTTAGCAAGTTATTAAGACGAATGAGCTTGTATTTAAACCCGTGTCTGTAAACCACAAACAGAAGACTAAAGGTAGATGGCGAAAAAACAAGGGTTTCAATGAACAGGGGATTGAGAAGTTGTCCTCTCTCAAAATAGAGGTGTGGTATATTGAATCCTCTGATGCTAAAACATAAACAATAATTATCTGGCTGTGGGTTCAAGGTTAGATCAGGCAAACAGACCCTTTTTAACTCTCCCAATGTTCAAGGTGTTTTTCCTTCTGTCCTCAGCTAGTAGAGATCGTTATGGTGAATCCGGATTCGTTCAGAGTCCTACATCCAATGCACCTTCATGGCCTTCAGTTTCAAGTGGTGGCCATGGAACGCATGTCCGACGCGACAGTGCAGTCCGTTATGCAGCTCGACCAGAACGGTACGTTTTTGTGTGAAGCCTGGACAACCTCGTTCCCATGGTGTCGAGTAGTACACTCCCACCACCATCTGCTCTCTGGCCCTGGCATTTGGTCATTTTGCATTTTTCAAAAATCTTGCACGTGTACGCAAATTAGGCTTGAATGGTTGTTTTGGATGCGGTGTCTGCGGTAAAAACAGAATCAATTCGTCTTGACGTGGATTCGCAAACACGATTTTCTGAACAATTAATGCTACAATCGTATCCAGTTTCACATACACAATATATACTATTATAAGAAAAAATATGACAAAGGGAGTGCTTTTGAGGTGGAGTTGACGGAATGAACGCCAACGAAATACACGTTGGAAATAACACCAAGTAGGGTCCACACGATATAAATCCGACACTTGCTGATGCTGTATCGATACGCTACAGGAAACGAGTTTCCCCACACCCAGGGGTTACTATTATGAGCACTTTACCGCCGAGGCAGGTTAGCGGCGCTCCCAATGGACTTGCAGCTGTATTAGTGGAACGAAATCAAAATGCAGTCTCTGGCACAATACTTTAAGTTCTTTGATACCATCTTGCAGTAATACGCATTTACTTCTTTCCCCTTATGTTCTTACTGCAGGTGAAATTACCCGTAATCTGAATGGACCATTCAAAGACGTCGTGGTGGTACCCGACGGGGGCTATACCATCTTCAGGTTCCGGGCCTGGAACCCGGGATGGTGGATCTTCCATTGTCACATCGAGTTCCATCTCGAGGTAATTAAAACACCGAACACGTTTAATCAGGTATACCTTAATTCTGGCTGGTTGTCTACTATCAGAAAATTCGCTGAATCATGTCAGTGGTGACGTACAGAATTGTTGATCTACAGTGGCATCACTATAATACGCACGATTTCGGGCGGCACGAAGACCACTGAAAGATTCATGGTTGATTCGTGCCGTAAGGTACCCCTGCGCAATTTTAGTCTCGGTCCAGTTATTTTTTGTACTATATAGGCTTTTCATAGGCGTAGCCATTGGGGGGTAAGGCGGTTATTTCCCCCCCCCCCCCCATATTTTGTAAGGAATGCCCTTTTACATTCAAATGCCTCTTTTCACCAGCGTATACCCCCAATATTTGTAAGGACTGCCTTTCTTTTGTTAACAAGTGCCCTTTTTCCGGAACATGTGCCCTTTTTGTAAAAAAAGGTCGTGTCCCTTTTTAATGGAATTTCGCGCATGTATCGCCCTTTTAAACAGCGCCCTCATGGACAGATTTTAGCAGCCCCCCCCCCCCCGTAGTCTGAGTATCACCCGTTATCCACGGAGCCATCTCCTGTCTAACGTCTGATATGTCAAAGCATGCAGATTTATGCAAGCAGCGCGACAGCCAATCGGAGTCGACTTTACTAAATCGTGACGTCATTTCATCCCAAAATCAGGACTAACGCTGTGATTGGTCAATTCGAATGCAGCGTTTTGTAATACAACAACAGCCGGGAGCGCATTCGCGTAACATGGTAACATGATACCTGCATGATACCGAGCGCCGCGCGCCGTGACATTTTTTTTTAAATCCATATCTATGACGCGCAACGGGTGAATGACCGAAGACCCGATAGACCCATAGAAAGCGCCTGCTGATTGGTCAAAATCTAGGAAGTCAAGAGGCCTAATTACCTAATCTTGCCTAATTAATCAGCAAATCTGTTTGCGCATAAAAGACCAGGGCATTCGCCGTGGTCTATTACATAGACTCCCCCCCCCCCCACACACACACACACACCCCCCCAAAAAAATTACCCCCAATAGTGAGAATGACCGTGCCACGCCGCCCGTGTGTTTTGTATATTTCAGGATGGTATGGCACTCTTGTTCTGGATGGGCCACACTCAGGATTTCCAGGCCATCCCAGCGGGCTTCCCTACCTGTGGTGTCTTCCCACCAGCTACCGACCCAGCCACGGTCCCTCCCCCGCTGCCCCGGGCCGACGACCCGCAAAAACTGGACACCTATCACCTGGCCTGGATCGTTCCCGTGACGTTCCTGATAGCCGTGGCGATAGGGCTGCTCCTGGGCTGCTTGTGCCGCCGTGGCGCCTCGCCCGCCTCAGTGGATCCGGGACCAGGGACGGCCGAATACTCGGCACAGAGTGGTGCCGTCGGCGTCCAGACGGCCGCAGTGTCGACTTAAAACGCTTTTCACATGTTGCTTTCGGTATATAATAGGTTGACCGGAAAAGTTTAAAACTGAAATCGATTTTTTTGGGGGGATACCTACGCACACTAATGTACATAATTGCAAACGTCTAAGATTTATGTTGGTGGATTCTTTTTCTAGTTTTTCCCCACTTTCATATAATTGAATAATTTTACTTCGGGAGCGGGAATGGGCATCTCCAAAACTCGTTGTAGAAAAAAAGAAATAAAAGTACTATCATAAAAATGTTGAATTTACGATTCATTTCCGTTTTTTAAATCCATAACAATTTCGCTTAAATTAAAGTGTCATTGTACATTTTTTTTTAACATTCTGCAAAAAATACAAATGTTTAACTGTAAAAAAAATTAATTGTACTTTAGGCCAAAAAAAAAAATATTCGGTCTCTGGTCAGACCAAAGTTCCGGAATTGACGCGGCCACGCGGCTTTTTTTTTTTTTTTTTTGCTTTTTTTTTTTTTTCTTCAAGCTTGGATTGTACAGACAAGGTGGGTACTATTTTGCTTTTTTGGTGTCCTCATGTACATTGGTGTCCTCCATAATTTGCCTTGGTGCTTTCGATTATTTGCCTTGGTGCAATTTCCCATTCCTTGGTGCTCTTTGGTAAAAAAATTTGAGGAGGTGCGGAAATAGAGGGCGCTGTTGGAGCTACCGCGGAACATTTTGGAAAAAAAAAAGATCGACGCGCATGATTAAAATCGACGCGCGCGCTGACCAGAGACCGACTTATTTTTTTTTTTGGCCTTATCTACAGTTTTTATCATTATTACAGACAAACAAAGGTGCAGTAGATTCTACAGGAATTCGTCGTCCAGTGTTTCCCTGTTTATTTGTCATGATTTTGTCTACATTATTCTTATGATACCCGTATTTTCATATGAATATTCATCAAATGTCGACTGAGTAATAATACAACCGTAACCACGGTTCACAGGCAGCTTCTCTTGAAAATTATCGTCTTTAGATACCATAGGCAACTGCATTACAGAGATTTTATATATCGGATAGGCCCCCTATAATTATTTTAAATATTTTTTACAAGTTAGAGGTTTTGTTTAGCTTTAGGGCAATTCCACGGTAACGGAAGGACGTTTTCACTCATTAAACAAAATTTCAAATGTGTGTATCACAGACACTGTTCATAGTTACAGCAAACAAATGTCACAATTGTATTGCTATAATGCTACTTTCATTTTCCACACTTTGGGGGGGCATGAATGCCTCCCGTTTATGAATAATGAATATTAATGAGGTCGGTAACGGAAGGACGGTATAACGGACAAGGGTTTTCCAACTTACTCGCGTTTTGCGTAAACTCTGTGAATTTTATGGGGCAATTATATTTTAAAGGTAGGAAATGGAATCCCTGAAGCTTTATCTATACTATACCGCCTTTCATTTGACTTTAAGTGTTTCGGTAATATAATTACAACGTTTTAAGCAGATTATAATTTGGTAACGGAAGGACGGTAACGGAAGGACAAAAGGTTTACTCAATTATAGCATGAACAAAATGTGAATTTACACTAATTATACAAGTGAAACAAATTGCTGAAATGTGTAACTGAATGTGAAATCAACAATATGCAGACCTGGCATAAATAATTATACCCAAGAAACTATTGAGATAAAGATAGAAGCCTGCTAATTAATGATAACAAAAGAAAAACGAAAACAACCCAAAACACATAATTCACGAACACAGGACTACTACAGAAATAGACTTCAAACCCATCACCTCAATCCTTAAAAGTTTAAATACACAGTATTTGAACTCTTGAGTATATTGGTTACATGTTCACCAACAACTTTTAATAATAATACCGGTAGGTTCAAAGGTTTACCGAAAGGGTGGGGGGGGGGGGGGGGCGACCAGCCTACATGTACATTTAAGGTAAAAACATCTACCGGTAGAACTAATGGCTTCAGTTAGGTGTTGCTTTTAATTGAACTCTAAAATCAATGTTTGAAATCAAATTACAATGATTTAGAGTAGTAACAATTAATTTATAAACATCCAAACTGAAATTGTTAACTTGGGCATAATTTGTCAAAGATTGCACCTCACATGTCTTACACATGTAAATTGAATGTAAAAGTGCCCCAAAGTACCGGTACTTTCTGCCATCTCATTTTTGACTTAATTTGCTTCTGGAATGGCTTCACAGAATTCGTATCTTTCTCTATTGTCCATGAATGCTGATGGCAGCAACTTTATGATTTGATTTTCTGCAACAACTCCATACATGTACAAGTAAGTACTGGTACATCGGCATATATGTACATGTACATTGTACATGTTGTACATGCCTGTGCCTTCCTTTGTAATAAACACCTTGCCCTGCTTATCCCGCTTTTGTGAAGGTGGGTCACATGAATGTCCTTTCAATGCTCATTACACATGCATGTATTTGCAGTGATTTTCATTTTTCAAACATGAGCGCAAATGTCGTAACATTTGATAAAAATACGATTTGTCCTTCCGTTACCGTCCTTCCGTTACCAATTTGGTAACGGAAGGACGTGATTTAATTAATTGTAATTAAAAAACGAGAAGAACAGCAGTGTCAGTTATAATGTCATATTGAAGGCCTACCTAAACTTGCTTTGCACAATAACTTTCAATGCATTCATACTGCAAGTTTTAAAAATAAATTAAAAATATGTATTTTTTCGGTAACGGAAGGACATTTTCGAAGGCTGAAGTATTAGAAGTCACTGAAGCGAAACAAGTTACGCAAAATGTTAAAAACAAGTTTTAGTCAGTTTTTCAAGACCAATACTTTCTCATGACAGAAACTGATGGCATTAGTACATATTTTTGTGTGTCTATTGGTAGAATACTTTCATATCACTATTAATCACATTTTTAGGATTAAAACAGGATTATTACATAATCCTATTTTTTGGTACCGAAATGTATAAAAAATAAAATTCCGACTTCAAATCTTGAAAATATAGACTTTTAGCTTTCATTTGATGCCAAATTTGTTTAAGTCACTTGTATTTGAATTTTTTGGTGTCATGTCCACTTTGGTGTGGAATTGCCCTTTAACAAAAAAAGTATATCATTTCTTTCATTTATTTAGGATTCTTTTCCTAAAAATGTACGTTGTTTTAATCTGTGTTATGTTTCATTCATATGCTGTGGTTGTATGACAGCTTAGATAGTTAGTTGGACGATGAATATATTCCTTGCTTAAATTTTTTTTTTGTTCTAAAAAAAATGGAAATTCAATAAAGGGGTTTGCTATCAACTCTACGTAGGAAACAGACGCAAGAGTCCACTGAGGTTTTTTATGTCATGACCACGATAAAACTGGGGTATTATCCATGCTACAGTTTGCAGACAACTGTACGTAGCTGTTGGGCAAGCCAGTGGGGTATCCAGCAGGCCTGGTAGGGGGCTACTTGCCCTCCCCCTCCCCCGCCCTCCCAATAAGCTTATAGCAATATATAACAAGCTGTAGGAAGAAAAATCGGTCTTCATGGAATGTATTGGCGTACCCGAGATTCCTAATGGTCTGCTATTGTTCGCCTACAGACAACAAAACCATGAACGGGGCCCTGAATTTTAGAAAAGGTTTTAGGTCTGAAAGCCTTCAAATCGACAAAGCATACCACCCCCACGCCCAACAAAAACTTGTTTAGCTTAAATCGGCAAGGCACAAAATATATCCAATATCCTACAGGCCCAACATAATGTGGAACAGGCGAAATATGCTCGTAAAACTATGCATCTCTCGTAGCCTCCAAATCTTTCTTGAATTGTAGCACACACACAAAAAAAGGTTTCATGGTTTTTACCGGCGCCTGTTTTCAAATATAATCAATCCATGTCCGAAAAGCGCCCTCAGTTGGTTTATAGCGCCCTCAGTTGGTCGTAGCCGCCACTAGTAGGTACAGGTAGCGCGGTTTTGTCAATGTCAGCCGGAGAGGCGTCATGGTATTCACGCCATTTTCGACCTCATTCACATTTGGAACAACAGCCAAAATTATATACTCATGTTGCACTGCCACCTACTTACACAATAACAAATCACCAAAGAAAAGAAAATTGATGACAGCAAATTTTCCAAACTTCTAGCTACTTTTTGTGCTGAAATAGCTGTAACATTGAGGTTTCTGCCCTGAATAGTATCACAGTGCTGCTCATGAATATGGAAATCTGCATTAGCATAAGGACTACAAAGGCACAAGGAAAATTGGGTTACATGGGATACAAAGGTTCAAATTCAAAGATAGTATTCAAAACAATACATTGCATGGGCCCTTTAAAGATACAGTCCATCATTTGTAATTTGTGCAATTTGTTCGTTTGAAGCAACAAAAGTGTTCAAAATCTAATGAAGGATACTAAACAACTAACCTGATGAAGTTTCAGCTCAGCTTCAGCTGTATTTTCCGAGAAAAACAGCATTCTAGGATCTCAATTTCAAATCAAAAGTTGCTGAATCATGTTTTGAAGTGGGCCTGAATTCAGCGTCCGAGACGCGTTCTCACTGAGCCGATTGCAGCTATGTCGCGCACTGATCCGACGAATTATATATATAGCAACCACGCGCGCGTGTGCGTCGTGCCAATGCTTGCGCACGCTCCGCCGAATAACAAAACGAACTACTAATTTAAATTTTCCGACGGTGCGTCTTAAGACGCACCGTTGGAAAGGCCTTCTTTCGTTGATTACTTCAAAATTTCAGCTTGCCAGAAAGAATAATTTCACAGGGAGTTTAGTCCCCTTACTATCTTTCAACCAAGTATGTTTTTCAACAATAATTACGCCAGTTACTTTTCGGATGACTGCAATAGATAAGTATAGATAACTAGGACAGCAACGGGCCACGTGTGAAGGTCCATGATGTTAAAGAGACCAGATTTCAGGAGTAGAGCTATATCAATTTAGCTCTATGGGAGTACCGTACAAATTCCATTTGCCACCGGAATCCGTGTTATGGGTGCTAAAGATCGAAGAACCCTTACTACACACACCTTTGGGCCATATTCAATTTTGTTTTCTCCTAACGAATTTTCAATTTGTATGTTAAAATGAATCGGAAAAGGACATTTGCAGCCCTCTAAATATATGCTTTTTATAATTTGGATAGCTTTTGCGCCAACGACGCACAAAATAAACGCGTGAACTTTTGCTCTTTTTTTTTTTTTGGCTGGATGCTCACCTAAACGTGAATAACTTTTGTATGTCTAGCAATTTAAAAACAAAATCTAAATATAGAATGTGCTGAGCAAATTAAGGGAATATAGGGACATCAATAACACCACTCAAAATCCAAAAAAGAATGTTCAAAACCCAACCTGTTGAAGTTTCGGCACAGTTACACTTTTAGAGAAAACAGTG